CCCCATGGTAATGGCTGTCATGACTCTGGTTTCCATGACTATTGTCACCATAGGTAGTGGTGTCATAGTTACTATTGGGTTGGAGATTTAGACACAGGGGCTGTAGGCTGATTACTCCAGGAAGCTGTCATAAGCTGTTGGAGCTGCTGAGTCAGCTCTAGGACCTGTGCTTGAAGAATAGAAATGGGATCAGGGAATTCTTCTGCTTGTTCCATAATGGTGGATATGGAATAAGGCAGGTGTTGGGTGTGTGTGGTAAGAGTAAAGGCAGGTAAGAGTAGAGGTGGAGTGGTGAAGCAGAGGTTGTCACTTGGAGACTTGGTCTTCTGTTAGGGCAACACAGGCTGACTAAGTCTGCTCACCTAAGAGTGCCAAGAGTCTAAGCAGGCAACAAGGAAGTGGAGTAGACCTGATGACTAAGACCTATCTACAGTATAGGTACCTGTGGATGATCCTAAGAGACCAAGTCTGAAGAGACAGTCCCAGGCAGAGTAGGCCTTATATTTATACCTCTGTGGTGGAACCTGCTAGAACATCTTGCTTACTCAGCCTAGTCAGGTGATCAGGTCATATGACCAAGGATGAGGTCATATGAGGTCATGCACAGCCATGCACAGCAGGTCACCTGACCATCCAATCCTTCCAGCAGGTTCCAGCACATGCCAAGGTATACCAGCTACTTCCATGTCATAAAGGCTTAGTCATGTCTCTTGACCAACCAATGAGCTGGTGCCCTGACAACTCAGGAGAATGAACAGGGTAGGTCTAGCCATTGCTAGAGAAGGAGGGCCAGTAATGTCTCCACCAGCACTCCCAGAAGATGCTGAAGCACTCAATTTCCTGAAGTCCACCTACAATGGAGATCCTATCAGGGCCGTCGACTTTGGCACTCAAGATGGCAAGCTTCTTGACCCGGAGAGTAGGATGTGGGAACAGGGAGCTGAGGTGGCCTGGGAGATGGATGAAGGGTGGACCAAATGGGGCCAGGAGATGAGACAGGAGCACCTTCAACAGATGTGGCAGAGATCTAGGTGCCTCTCACATACTGTCCATCCAGTTCTCTAGAATCTGACCAGGAGTGTAGGGCAACCCTTTGTAGAGGCTCTGCTTCCGGACAGACTTGCTATGCAAGCAAAATGGCAAAATGGCACTGTGATGGAAAACAGCCATACCTACCCTTGCCTGTGCTTACCTCCAATGGAAGCATGAACCACTGCCCAATGGAGGCAGCCCCAATCTAGAACCCTCCCAAGTGGGAGTAGAGTTGGACATGGCATGTGTTAAGGTGGTGGGGTGGAAACATAGGTGCCTGGGTCAGTGCTTGAAGCTCACTCATATGTCAATCTAGGAGTCAGTCTCCTCAAGGTCTACTGTCACCAAGATGGCAACAACTTGCTCACCCTACTCCTCTGCCATGGATATCTAGCATGTTCCCCAATTAGCCCTAGAGTCGCAATGTCTCTAGAAGTGCTAGAGGTGTACCACTGATGCTGCCTCCAGTCACACACATCACACAAGGCATTCGCTAGAGTGTTATGCAACCTTCATGCAGTATGTTCTTCATTTACCCTTCCCATCTTCTAGCCACTTATCTTTGAACAGCAGCCCTACAGATGTCATCTATGAATACACCTCAGTCAAGCCTACAATGCCTGGGTAGAGATGATTCTGCATGTTGAACTCCTAGTACAAAGGAGCTTTGGGCAAGACATGCTGAATTGGCATCTGCTCAACTCCTGTACTGCTTGTGAATACTGTGTAAGTGCATCTACATAGTAGAGGTGCTCTCATGTCAGTGACTCATTTCCTAGGCAGCTAGAAGGAGAAGAAGTCTTGATGCACTCCAAGCTTGTTGCTGCAGATGGCAACAGTTTGTCCAAGAGGTTTCTAGGTGTGGGCTATCATGACAACCATGAATTTCATAGCAACTACATCCTTGATTCCAAGGAGGTTGATCAGTATCAACGTGCACTTAGTGGCCCAGGAAGACAGGGCAAGACATTGGACACATTGACCAAGGAAGAACAAGGCAAGACTTCTACAAATACACCTCAAGGTGACGAGACAAAGGTGTGCACATCCAGGTGGAAGGCATGGAAGACCAAGGAACATACAAGCAAGTGGACTGGGGCACTAGATGCAATGGGCAACTTTGTTGTGACATGTTGGCATGGAATGGTGCTCTACTCGGCTGACCTAATCCAAAGCGGAGAGTTGTACATATCTGACCTAGCTGTAGGAAGACTAAACTTGCTCATGCTATGTCCTAGGTCCAAGTATCCCTTGGCCTGCTTGGCGAAGCTTATGGAGGTCTATGGGGAAGGGCTTGCTATCAGTTATGACATCAGTTGTGAGCATTCAAAGACAGTCGCTTGTAGTGCTCTTGGTGCTTGAGCCGAAGAGCTACGTGTCCATTACCTCATTGGAGCTTTTCATGGTTACACCCACAACTGGCATTGTCAGCTAGGCTTCCACCCATGGTTTCTAGGGACAGCTGGTCTAGAAGAGTTTGAGACTAATGAGCACTTGTTCTCAAGGCAGAACCTTACTGCCCATCTATTCTGCTATGCATCAGCATACCACTGACACCTAACTCTACACCTCTTTTGGAGGCAGTGGGATGAGAATAGGGCATTGCAACTAGGTGTGTAGTACTGTTGCAGTTTATTACATCCACTGACAATATCTGTAGCCGAGTTCATTTACAATAACTACTGCCAGGCACAAGAGATCCTAGAGACTGTGGAACCCATGGTGCTTTGGTTCCAACAAGATTGAGGACTTACCAATGAGGACTTTCAATGGTTCCTAGAAGAGGAGAAGGCCTACTTCAACAACCTTCAAGCTGAACCAGAGGGTAATGAAACTGCATTCCTTTACCTAGAGTCATTGCAGCAACTCAACAAGGCCCAGTGCATCTACACTGTCTTCTCATCAGACGTACTCTGACCTGTCTCTAGGGAACTACTTCATAACTCTGGCTTCGATGGGTTTATCCATATGTCCCAAGAGTCTTAGAGCTTGCTCCCCCATCAAGATCAAGCTAGAGCTCTAGTGCACAACTACACAGCTCTAGTGAATCTAGTCAAACAACATGAGTCAACAGCTTGTGCATATGAGAAGTGCCTTGGTATTGAACAATGGACACCTGACAGTCAAGAATGGAAAACAATGGATCAAAGCATATACTACAGAGAGTACAACAAGGCACTAGACAGCCTCGAATCCCTTGTTGTATAGTGCCTGTTTGAGCTTGAGAAACTCAATCTCTGCAGAACTGGTAAGCAGTGCAATATGATCAACACAAGCCGGAGTTCCTCACTACTTTCCAGGGTACAAGATGTGCAAGGCTCTAGGAGAAGCACTCCAGAAGAGGAGCAAGGGTATACAATCTGCATTGACTAGCTACAACACCCTCACTGCCAAGGTCAATCACCCTCTCCTCACTTTCAAGGACATGTTCACCTATATGTGGCTGTCTGACTTCTCCCTTCTATGTTACTCTTGGACTGACATTAGAGGGGCTATGTGGGCTGATCTGGAAGTGCATCCAGTTGTTGTACAGTGGCTCCTCATGCAGTGTGCAAAAGAAGAGATCTGCCATCTAGATGTCAAGGCTTGCTGTGTCTGGACAGCACTACACCTAGAGCCTAGTGTGATGGAAGCTAGAGCTCAGTTAACCAAGGCAGATGGTGACAAATTATTGGCCACTGAGATGAAGACCTACATTGCTAAGCAAGCAAGCATCTCAGTCCCAATATGGTCTTGCCTTCTAGATGTCTTTGCTCTAGCCAGAGTTGTCAGTCTGGTACCTGTCGGTACTAGAGCACAACAAGTGCATGATATTCAACCACAGGTTGCTCCATCTACCAAGGTTCCAGAACTCAGTGTGAAGAACAAAGAGCCCCTGGATGCTAGAGACTTCTATGATCTAGAACTCAATGGTGTAGACAATGAGAGTCAGGCTGAAATAGAATGGATGGTGGAGGCACTTGAACAGATTGATTTGTAGATTAGGATGGGTATCATAGTACAGAGACTGTAACCTAGTTTGGTAATGCCATGGATAGTATGTTGAGCAATGTGATGCTCATGACTTGTTTCTAGGCTGATTTCTTTGTGGTACAATGTTCTACCTCCTACTGATAGTTGTAGAGGAAGATGCCTTCCAGTAGATGTCAACCCAACTGTAGCAGCCATCTATAGCAATTTATTTACAAGTCAATATTATGTGTAAATTATAAATTCATTGTGCAAATTAATACTTAATATGGAAGCTAAAATGTACCTAAAGTAAAAGACAATTTATTCATTAGATGAGTGTGATCGCAATCCTACGTTCTAATTGTTGTCATTCTCAGTGTGTGATACTTCTCCCTAGTTGTCTCATCACCCCATTTCTCTACAGTGTCACACTAGGTTCTCTAATCCTCATGCCTCATTCCCTAAAATTCATGGTCTAGAATGAACAAGAGTCTGCTAGAAGGTACTCTCATTGGAAATGGGGTTGGCCCAATAGTCATCTAGAAATCGAGGGCACATTGTTGTGCTTCTCTTTCAATGTTTTGGTTCTGCTCTGCCTAGCTTATACTGGATGCGCAAATGACGTCCCTCTCCTCCCATCCACCATCATTTCCAACCCCCCCATTGGAAGGACCTCATCCTCTACTCCTTGACATCAACATTCTACTATCTAGAACAACTAGGCAACTACAAGCACAGAAACAAGCAAGCTCTTCCTAATAGCTACTGTGGATGGATCTGGATGACAACATCCAACCTGTCAACCTTGACCTCCTGCCTCCTAGTCTGCATACAGGTGAGTATGTGATCCATCCACCACATATATGTACTGACTGGAGGGTAGGATTATTGTCCAGTGGTGGCTCGACTTGGAATCTTCAGTCTGGCACTCCTCATTACTGTCTCCCCTTGCCCTCGCCCTCTATGGCTCTTATTCCTAGTGGAAGGTCTCTTGTGTTGACAGGAGGTACCTCAGGTTTTCATTCTGGTGAGTCCCTAGACCTACACACCTACAGTATATATGCTAATACTACATCTAGGTCAACATGTCTCTGGCTTCCAATCTGCTGCCTCCCTTCCCCATGCCAACATCAACATGCCCATTGCCCTCCTCATCAATTTCCACATGCTCATGCACAAGGTTGCTGCTGGGGTCCAGCTCCCTACCACCAAGATTGGTAGACCCCAACCTATGACACAGCCTTGGATGGACCACAAGGTCTGGAAGGATGAGAGAGCTAGAGTTGCCATGGTCTCTAGGATGATTGATGGCTCTACTTTCAATGGCAATGACTTGGTAGGTGCTGATATGCACATCTTTTGTGATCCATTCAATGGCCGCCTTCAGCATATCACTTGGTACAAGGAACTACAACCTCAAATCTTTGACATTGTACATTTTCTAGTCCCCTCCAGGCTAGATTTCCTACTTACCTTCTTCTCTAGCTTACTACATCTGATTACATTCTTGGTGCCCTCCTCAACATGTGTATGTTTGCTAGGTACGATGGCACTATGACTACCATCAAGACCTTCATCTCTAGGGTTCTGTGAAACATGGGCTATATGCCCCTCATCAAAGGCATTTTCAAGCTGTATCATGACTGTGTTGTCATTCCCTACAATCAACATTATACAAACTTCCAAGATGCTAGGTGCGCTGAGGGGTCAGACCCTAGGAGTAGGTCTGACCCCCCTGACCTGCCTCCCTTCAACCCCTATGACTACTTCCCAACACATATGATCGAGCTCCTGACCCCTCCAGCCCCAGCCCCTACTCAACATGCCCCCTCTTCCACCCCAGCAGGCAAGGGCAAGGGACGTGGTATGCACTTGGTTGCTTCTATGCCTAGGACCCAGTCAATGATGCAGCTTTTCCCTCCTTCCTACACACTGACACATTCAGGTGGGGACAACTCCCTGGCGCACCTCTCCCTTGCCTCTAGGCTCTTGGCCAACCATGCTAGAACCTTGTATTCGAGGCCCGACAACATTACGGAACTGCCTGTCCTCCCACGTCTACTCTCCAAGCTCCTTCGCACCTACCAAGATGCCCTCCAGATTGCCCCCCTCTACATGTCTAGGATTGAGACCAAGGCTGCAGCCATCTACCATTGGGACATGCCTAGGACTTGGCTCAAGAGGATGGACCATGTCATCTGGGACTCCTTCAGGGAAGAGCTCATGTCTGACAAGGCTTGCCAAAACTACAGCCCGCACCTACATGCACTGCTCGCAGATGTTGTGAACTTGATGAAGTCAGAGCACCTGAATGACTACTACAAGGGCAGGGCCTAGGGACGTTGAGGAAGAAGTGCATGGTAAGGTAGGTCTCTCCTTTCTTCTTCTACTTACTTCCAACTTGATGCCTTTGGCATTGTATGCCACTCTCTACATCCATGCCCTAGGTGCCCACCTCCATTCTTTTGTGTAGGACTCAAACTGTTAGTATTGTCTAGGCTTTGTGATGCGAAGCCTAGGTATGTAGAATGTAGAAGACTGTCAATAAATGCCTTCTGAACAGGTGCTTAAGTAAACACACACACATCATGTGCATGTATCCACATGTCATGTATACACATACTAAGTTCACCATTCTAAGTCTACTCTGTACCACTCCAGCAATGCCACACTCTACTGCCCTAGTGACCTCCTGGGCTCATTGCTCTAGAACTACACTTGAGAACCATGCTCACCATGGGGAAGTGCATATTGCAGTTGAGGAGATTAGGACAAAGGTTGAGGTTGACCTGATGGCACTTGCTGCCCAGCATGCTATGGATGTCAACACCATGCTAGGGTTTTTCTATGGTCAACAGCTGAAGCATCGAAATGACACCATTTCAGTGTACAATGCAGCCATCATGAGCTAGTGGCAGAGTGGAAGCACCTAGGTCTGCCTACCTTGGCTTTATCCTTATTCCAAGACCTTACTCTTACCGCTAGGGAAAAGCTTTCAGGCTGTAGGTGACTCAGCTTTCCAAGAAGCCATAGTGGCAAGGGTGAAGGTTCTAGAGACCGACCCTGTCCTCTGTGCAAGCACAAAGGAAGCCATCATAGTGCAATGGGAAAGTTGTGCCCAGCAAGTTGGCTGGCCTGGCCATGCTAGGCTCTCGGACATGAAGCACATGCAGGAGACTCTGCAATCGACTGCCCAAGACTTCAACACTCATACTGGTGGGCATATCTTTGGCCTAGTCATTTGAGGCCATGTCAATGACTATGCTGTCCCAATGTTTTTCGGCAGCACACTCTGCAAAGAGTGGCTTGAGATGGCTCTAGGTATGCCTATGCCCATTCTGAGCCTAGAACTGGAGTCTTGGGTTCTAGGAGGAGGGGCAAGGCATACATCAGACTGATTTTGGTGAAGCATTGTTTGTACTCATGTTGTTTGGTGCAGAGATGGCAGCAAGTACAAAATCTAGGGTCAACACTCTGAAGCACAAGATCCACTTGATGCTAGATGACAAGATTTGTATGTGCTCTACATGGTCTTGAATATGTATATAGCTCACTTCCAAGCTTCTAGGATGTATCACTAAGGGTGCCAGGACAATTATGGTGTATAAGGGTTTCAGTCAAGATATCAAGGATGCTTTCCACATCACTCTACATGGTTGGCCCCTAGAGGCTATCATCAACCCTTCTGACATGTCCAGTATTGGAGAATTGGCTCAAATGCATGATGCACTCAAAGAAGGTCATTGTTTCTTTCACCAACTGTTGGATCAACCTCTACAGCAATGGTGGATCTCTCTGGACAATGACCCAATACTGACCTGTCCAGGCCACTAAAATGACAGGCAAGAAGCCAAGTGACAGGTGGGCAGAAACAACCCTGTCAAGAGATATGCACCAAGAGTAGTGGCAGAGAGGTCTTATTGCTGGCCCCTACAGAGAAGAACATAGTTAATGTGGTTCAAGACTTCAAAGTGACTAGGCCTCCTATTGTTGACATTGTATGTGATGGGTGGGATTTGGTAGGAAATAGTATGGGTGCAGATGGCGACCCAAGAATGCTATTTAACTCATGGACAATGTTGTAGTCCTAGCATCTACAATGAACAGGTATTGATATCTAGGGATCAATCTCTAGGGCTTGGTCGACAAGATCAATAGAGCATATGCCCCTTCCTCCATAGCTCGAAGAGCAGTTTGGTCTGCCTTGTACTTCTTCAAGTGAGCAAGTGATTCCTCCTTGTGTGTCTTCATTGTAGCATGCTTGACTGCATCATATTTGTGTTGATACTCTTGGAGGATGGCTTGGTGTCTAGAGCTAGTCAGTAATGTTATCACTAGGAGGTGATGGATGCACTTCTTGGCCCATGTTCTCTTGGCCTGTAGCTCAATGTTGTACGGAGGACTAGGGCAGTATGTGCGTGGGCATGGCATGATATAATAAATATCCAAGATGACAATATTGTGGTAGGGGATGCTGGTGGTTGCCATGGGAGAGGGGCTGGAAAGCATGGCCACCAGGCCACATTCTAAGTGGTCATACCCTAATAGGGAACCTAGACCCTGGATTTCACTGGATCATCCAGCTAGAAAAGTCTACGTGAGTTTGTGGTGGGGGCAAGGGTCGCCCCCCTGGCAAAAGTGTGGACCCTAGTGGTCAACATTGGTGCGGTCAGCTCTTTCCTGTCTAGGAGGTCAATATCAGTGGCAGGGTCCTGCGAATTCGGGCTTGGACTGGAAGGTGCGCTGGACCAGTACTAGTGCTATAGTGGACGTGGGTCGTGAGACCTTCCTTCCCTTAAACTTGCTGCTGCTGGGAATACGCTCGCTGAGCGCTTGCTCCCATCAGGGCTGTACGACCTTAGCATGAGCGAACCCGCCGGATCCGTTATGCTCGGAAGGACCAAGGTATGCAGCGCTAGCGCTGTCATGATCACCTGATAGACACTTTCCAACCTTCGCGCGGGTCAAGCCAGCACATCATATGCATCTCCACGCTTGGGGGACGAGGTGACGTCATCCCGTTTTGTGGGGACGTGACCTGTAGCACGCCGGTTGAAGACAATATTGCTACAAAAAATCGCCTCTTGCAAAGGTCATCATCGCTGTCAATGCCCAGTAACGTTTGAGACCTCTTTGGACAGCCGCCCGTCTAAAGTGGGAGTCTACCATGCCAGTTCCAAATACTGAGCGTATCTCCCAAAGGTACGGATAGGTTAGATGCATAGACTTTAGTCAACCCCGCCTAACCAAACCCCGTTATCTTCCTGTTGGGTAAACTTCTGAACTTGTCATTGTTATATTGTCTACATCCCTTCACACGAGTGACATCATCCCTCGCATCTATCCTCCCAAGCACCCATCCCAACAGCCTACAATCCCATCTTCCCCAGTCCCTATCCAAGCTGCGTCACCTGCTCCTTCTCCCTTCCCCGAACAGGCTCATCCAACCCCGGCCATCTCGGCAAGCCAAACACCCGTTCCAGCCTCTCCAGCCCAACGACCAGATAATCCCTCCTGACCGCAAACGTGAGCCTCACCCACCCAGGCGTAGGGTGGGAGAACGCCATTGCCGAACCGACGAACACCTTCGCACCCAAGATGCGGCGGAACATGTGCGCGTCCCTGGCTACGCCGTTGTCCTCCACCACCGGGGTGAGAGCGTGTCCGTGCTCGTCCTCATTTGGGAAGAACTGGCGGAAATTGGCCATCGCAAAGTGTCCGGCGTTGCTGGGCAAATACGGGATCTGGTGGAACTGGAACCACCGGGTCACGTACTCGTACGCCTCACGCAGCCGGCGCTGGTTCTCCTTTATGAACGCGGGGAGGTACACCGGGTCTTCGAGTATCGCACTCCAGAGCATTACCGTCGCGGAGGACATCTTCATGAACATGCTTGTGGTCCTGACGGCGACCAGTAGTTCGGAATTATGCTGCGAGCAGAGTACCCCGCCCCGCAGGCCGTTGGCGTTAAAGTCCTTCGACATGCCATAAATGACATGTATGCGCGCCGGGTCGACCCCTTCCCTTGCCCAATCAATACTGAGCACACTGACAAAGGGCGTCGGCTCAGGCACGTCATTGGTGGGGAAGACGCTCAGCGCGTAGATTTCGTCGCTAATCAAGTGGAGGTTGTGTGCCTCGCAAAACCGAGCATAGGCGAGCACCGTCTCCCTAGGATAACACTGCCCGAGCGGGTTATGTGGGTGGCAGAGCATCACCGCGCAGATCTTTATTCCCCCTTCTTCGGCTTTGCGCAGCGTAGCCTCGAACACCTTGAGCGTGCCTTCCCCGAACGGGTCTGCCTGGTCGACAGGCACAGGGACGGGCATGATACTGCTCCTACCCATGAAGTCCCCGTTGAACCCGGTATAATACGGGACGGGGATGAGCACCCCCTGCCCTGGGTCTCCAATGTGGAACACGAGCATGTCGACCAGCGCGCTGCACCCCGCACCAGCAAGCAGATGATCCGGGAGTATCGGGCTCACAGGGTGGAAATAACCGTTGAACAACCTCGCCAGGGCAGCAGACAACCGCATAGACCCGCTCAGATCGTTCCCATAAGTGAAATCTACGTCCTCAAGCCGGAACTTGCTGTTGTAGTAATCGAGCAGCTCCTGGTGCTGCAGGCTGTTCTCTGCCACGCCGAGGTTGCAGTACCCGCCTGGGTTGGAGGAGGAGTAGCCGTCTTGGAACAGGCTTTGGGCGAGCTGGATCAGCTGCCCAGCGTGGGAGAGCGCGGCCCTCCCTCTGTGGGAGAGGTTGGGCGCTGCTGGTGCTACGGGTGAGAGGAATCTACGGGCAAGAAGGGAAGTACTCACAGGACTGCCCGTTCGATACTTTGATAACGGTCATAGTGGACAAAGGTGAAGGAGAGTCATCTCCAAGGTCGCAGGGGATATACCCCGCAGGCCATCAGGGTCACCCTGGTGTAGCATAGCTTGTCCGGGACTGGAGCGTAAGCCCGAAACTGGACCGTGGGCCGTGGGATGAATGGGCACGAGCGTCTGGCGGGAGCGGATCGGTTCAGAAGGCCCGATCGCCCGATCACGAGTCACCATCCTCCAAGTATAAGTACGAGCGTTGTGGTCTTTCAAAAACTACTGATCATTCCCTGCTTCGCGGTCTATGAGCGTATCTTTCGGGATTGACAGCGTACAACAAGAGAACAAGAGTGATGAGGCATCTGTAAGTGCTGGAATATCAGTGCCTGCTAGGAACTTGAGGAACGTCCATCTCCCGCCGAAGAACGGAGATCAACGCAAGTCCGGTCAGAAGCAGAGTTACAGTCAGAACCAGTTTCTCATCCAGCCGAGGTCAAGTGTACTACAGCAACAAATAACAGGGAAGGAGAGGCAAGATGATTGCAGTACATACTTGGGAGATTATATACCTCCTGTAACGAATCTCTCATTCAAAATCGTCGTAATTGCGCGACATGACGTCTTCCCTGCATGTCCTGCTTCCAATCCCTATCTCCATCTCCAACAATCTATCTTCAGAAAACAACACTGCCTACAACCCCGAACCGCCGTCCCATTCCGGCAGGTCAAACATCTTCTCCAATCTCCTCAGTCCGGGCAGTACGTCCCCGTCCGGGGCAGAATAACATAATCTAAACCAGCCCTTTTCCGGGAAGTTGAACCCTGCAGCCGAGCCCAGTAGTACCTTCCCCTTGTTCAACATCCTGTTCAGCAGATCGTCTTTCGCCTCCTCCTCCTCGCCAATGTCGTTCCCTTCCGCATCGTGGGAAGGGAAAAACTGGCGCAAGTTGACAGAGATGTAGTGCCCCGCGCTGGCCGGATAGTACGGGATCTGGTGAAACCTCAGCCAAGCGGTGACGTACGCATACGCCCTCCCAAGTCTCCTCCTATTCTCCTGAACGAACGTCTCCCACCACCCTTTGTCCTCGAGCACAAGAGCCCAGAGCAGAGCAGTCGCGCTGCTCATCTTGATATAGTGCGAGGTGGTGCGTAGTGCTCCTAGCAGCTGACGGTTGCGCGAGATAAGCGCCCCTCCCCGTAACCCGTTGGCGTTAAAGTCCTTCGACAGGCCATAGAGGACATGTACACGTGCAGGGTCGCATCCCTCTGCCGCAAGATCGAGCGATAGGGCCGATACGAACGGCACGGGGTTTGGCAGGTCGGAGGAAAAGGTCGACTGGGCGAATATCTCATCGCATACGAAATGGAGGTTGTGGGTTTCGCAAAAACGGGCATAGGCGAGTAAGGCGGCTTGGGGATAACACCGCCCGAGCGGGTTGTTGGGGTTGCATAGGAGCACTGCGCGGATCGTTGTTCCCTGCTCTTGAGCGCGTTTGAGCGCGTGCTCGAACGCCGGTATCGCCGAGGTCGAGAAATGGTCTTCCATCTTTGCGTGGACGAACACTGGCCTAAGTCCGTTGCGCACCATACAGTCGTGTTTGTACCCCGAGAAACTGGGTGTGGGGAGCAGGATTCCCTCCCCCGGATCGGCGAGATACATCAGCAGCTGCTCCGTCACCGGTGCGCACCCAGCACCGAGGATGATCTCCTCCTCTTCCACTTCTTTCCATGGTCCAAAGTGCCTGTTGAGAAACGCAGCTAGGGCCCGGAGAAGCCGCCTAGAACCGGAAAGGTCGTCCCCGATCTTGAACTCCACGTCTGCGAGATCGAACTTTGAGCGGAGGAACCGGAGCAGCTCTGGATGCTGGAGGGTGTTCTGCGAGGCGTTGAGGTTTATCCAGCCGTCGGGGTTTGTGCTGTTGTAGCCGTCTGTGAGGATTTCCTTGGCTGATTGGGTGCTGCGGCCGTAGGAGGAGAGGAGGTGGGCTCCTCGTTGGGAGAGGTGAGGGGCTGGAGGGGGTGAGCGCGGGAGGGTGGGAAGTTGTGCTCTGGCTCACCATTCTCTGTGCTGTCCCCCATTGAAGTCAACTTGTATGAACAAAGTAATGATGTACAAGTTGCCTCTTATCCCGCATTCATATTGATTTGCAGATAAGGCTGTCGAGTCACCGTTCACACATGGTCGAACCATAAAGGAAAGGGTCCAAAGTATAAGTCATGCATCGACCACGACGACGACTGCGAACGAATGATATTATCAGTCCAGTCTATCACCGTCGCTGTCTAGCACTTCCCCTTCCTGCCTCTGCTCTCCCTCCCAACCTCCCTCCCGTCCCCGACGCACCAGGTTACCTCCCTCCCACGTCTACTCCCACTCCCTCCCCTCACTCCCCACGCACCGTCAACCCACTCGACGCCTACATCCTCGCCCGCTTCCAGCGCTTACGTTCTTCCGCATGTATAACTCCCCTCCGACGTCTGCTCACAGAGTACAACGAGAACAGCTCGCGGGTGCTGCCCGAGTACCTCCCCTACGAACCCTCTCCTCCCAAAGAGAGGCGAGTCGACTTCCACCAGGGACAGGACGGAGGCACAGTACTCGTCGCGCACGTCATCGCCGATCCCAAAGGGGAGGAGAAGGTCATCGTATGCAGCGGGTTTCCCATAAGGACGCGCTATGCCCAGCAAGGGGAAAGGGGGGGAAGGACACTCATCGTCTCCTGTACGCATACGCTCGAGCAGGTGCGTCTTACCCCCCTACGTGCTCTCCGGTCTCATACGTTTCAGCCGTAGGTTCGCTTCCTCGCACCTCCCGATGCGGGCGGTACGACGCTCATCTTCACCTCCCTCGGCAGAGCAGTCCCAGCCACAGCCATCCCCTCCAGTCTCCCAAATCGGGACCTAACACTCCTCTCCATCCCCCAGCAAGCCGAGTCGTACTTCCACCCACTGCCGGTCTCCCCTTACCCCCTCCCGGAGGAAGCGGAGATAGGAGTGCATAACTCTGCTGAGGAGGCTGGAGGACAGGGATGGGAGAGGTGGATTAACGGGAAGCTCTGGAGACGATGGGCTATGGGCCGTGTGGAGGGGTACAAAGACCAAGCGTGGAGAGAAGCCAAAGTCCGCCTCCTCCTCCTCCTAGCTTCTTCCCTCTCAAGCTGATCCATCCCTCAGCCAGGGACGTATGACCACCTTGCCCACCTCGTCTTCCTCCCCCTCCCTACCGCATCCTCCTCCGGCGGCCCGATCATGGCCAGTGAATCAGGCGCAGTAATAGGCATCATCATCGGCGACAGGGTCGAAGGCGTACGGGGTCAGAAAGGCTGGGCCGTGCCCGCGGAGGCGGTATTCGAAGTGCGTACGTTCATGTAGGAGTGTTATTTGTGGGGTGCTGATGAGCTACAGATGTTTAGCTTACCGGGTCTGGTGTTGAAGAAGGGCAAATGAGGGGATGTACTGGTAGTTTGGAGATATTGTAACCCACGGTTTGTATTTATCATATTTGTCCAGTATTACAGAATGAGAATAGAATGTTCGTTTTGGTATCCGGTCGGGCCAAATTGAGCGCTTGGCTCTGGACAGTTGGGGACGAGCGCTCAGTTTGCCGCATGCGAACGAACGACAGCTTTCGAAGAGAGGACATATCTGTTGTTGGAAGGAACGACTGGTGGTTGTGCATTCTGCGGGTGACAAACGTACATGGGGGAGGCTAAATTGATCATATCATAGGCAAGGAACGTGGTGATGCCCTGAAGAGCTATCTCGCAGAAACGACATCGATAAGACAGGCAGTAAAAATCGCGAGCGGGTATCGATTAGCAACATGTTCAGACAGCGACAACAGGCACCTCCTTGATCTTAGTCTCCTCGAGCTCTGCAATCCTCACAGCCTTCACATCACCCACCTTTACCTCACCCGCCTGTGTAGAGTACTCAATAACCTCCTTAAGAGGGGGGACGGCCGCCCTCTCCGGACTCCCTTCGGGGCTGTTAAGCGCACTGCGATAACTCGGCAAGCGTGCGAGAGGCGGTGACTGCAGACCAAGCCCCACGCTCCCCCCATTCTGCAAATAGTGGAGATACACGTACTTGGACTCCTCGCCCAGCTCGTTTCGCATGTCGTACATCCAGTCCACGCTTTCGACCATACTGCCTTGTACATGCGCAAGACGTTCCGAGATACTACGACTGACGTGCCGTTCCTGGCTGTGGGACATGCTCAATCCGGACAGCCGACGTTCCAGGACGGCCTTAACGCCAGCCATAGCCCGGAGTTCGTCTTCTTTCTCCTCGAAGGACCTGGAAAGTTGAGACAGCTCAAACCGAGCTGCCTGCAGAGCTTCCTCCACGACCACAACACGCGCTTCGACGGACGTCTTGGAGTACTTCACCGCGACGAGTTCGGATTGCAGTTTCTCCTTCTGGGAACTGACGGCACGGAAAGCGATGCGAGTATCCTGATAGCTCTGCTCGAGCCTCGTCATCACCGAAGTTACGTCGGAGAGCTCCTTCCTCAGAGTTTGGACCTGCTGTTCGAAGAGGACCTTCCACATCTCCGAGTGCTTGATGACGGACTCCTGGCCGGTGAGCGTAGTCTGGGCCTTCTCGAACTTTGCGCGAATAGAGCTGCGCTCCGCTTTGAGCGTGGTGGTCAGCGTCTTCAGAGCGATGTTTTCCGCGCGAAGCTCGTCGATCTCTGCTTCAAGCGTGGTGCACTTGCTCTGGAATCGAGATTTCTCTTCGTGGACGTGCTCGAGCTCAGCCTTCTGCTTCCTGCATTCTGCCTGCACCCTCGTGAGCTTCATAGTGGTCTTCTTGTACGTATCCATGAGTGTCGCATACACGGAACGGATACGGTTGTGCTCCTCGCTCATGGTAAGGCGCTGCATGTCGAGGGTGGTGAAGCGCTCATGAGACTGGCTGAGCTCGCGGTAGAGTTCGGTCTTCTCGCGGAACATGTACGCCATCTTGAGATCACGTTCTTTGATCTCAGAGTTGAGCCAAGCATGATCGCCAAAGGTCTTGCTCATGTTGAGTTCGCGTGCGGCGATGACGGCAGCTTCTTCTGCAAGCTTCTTCTGGGCGAGCGAAAGCTGCTCCTCGATTTTCATGCGGTCGTGGGCGGTCTGGAGCTCTCTGGCCTCGCTTGTCTCGGCTTGGGAGACGAAGCCGCTGACTTCGAGCTCGGCAGCGCGGAGAATTTGAGCATTGCGGGATTCGAGAACGGCCTCTTCAGCGAGGTACAGAGCCTCCTTCTCAACTGCCTCGCGCTTCAGAGCCGCCTCAGCCTCGGCATGACGTTGTTCGGCTTCCATATCCTTGCGGAGCTCCTCGGCATCGTGCACAACGTCTGCAGCGATTTCGGCGGCGAAGGCCTTGTCTTTCTCTCCCTGCTGCTTCTTCATCTCTTCGGCTAGCTTCTCGCGAGTATCGGCCTCCTTGGCAATCTCCTCCCTCTGCTTCTTCTGAGCAGAGATCCCCTCCTCGAGGTCCTTTGCTTGCTTCTCCAAAGCGGCCAGTTCCTCCTGGGGAATGATAGGAAGAGCGTACGCTTCGAGCTTGTCGCCGACAGCCTTAAGGTGCTTGCTCAAGTCGACCTCGACAGGAACCCAGGTCGTCGCGCCGAGCGTAGCAAGCCTCGCCTTGAGGATATGACCTTCGAGCTTCATCTCATCTGCAGACAAGCTGATACCGCGCCAGCCCCACCGAGCGGAACCATTATCGTTCCCGAGGATGGAGTCGAGGTCGAAGACTTTCGTCTGAGCACCTTTACGGCCCTCACGGTGGTAGATGTTCTTCTTCGTCTTCTGGTTTTGGAAGTGTAGGTTCAGAGGGGCGGCCATTCTGGTATATGGTGTGAGCGGGAGTGGGCACTCGGGGTTGGGTTGAGATTGGGCAGAACGAGTCGCGTTGCTGAGCCCGTATTTATAGGATCGAAACTTGACAGACTGTGTCTCTTGCGAGTCCAAGCCAAGCTACATTATAAACGAACTTCCGGCGCATCAATATCACCGTAAAGTATCTGCCCTTTTTCGTGGCATTCCTGACCAAATCCAGGGTTTGCAAAACGGAGATTCTGTCGATTACTGCCCGGTGAAGAGCGAAAATGCCACAAATTCGACAGTCTGCCTAATAGAATGTTCGACGGTGCCTCTGACAGTCGGAATACCGCTGCCGATGGTCAGCGGTGATGCCCTGAGCGCCACAGAGAATATTGGAATGAGCAATAGCAGCACCGCACTCGCCAGAATCAGGTACTAATCGACTGCCAGTTTCGACAATCATTTCGAGAGCCACTGAGTGGTGCATTCGGTCAGGCACATGTTCCTATCAGATGAAATAGAATGCGAGTAGTGAAGTTGGCAGTGCAGCTCTTCTACCAAAGAGAAGAAAGTCCAGGAGAACGGCAACCGCAGCCGGCGCTCATAATCACCGGTTGATCGTCTCGTTCAGGGTTGTCAGGAAACAAACTTTAGAAGCAAATTGAGGCCGTGTCCCATTGATGCTCACGTGCCACTCACGTGGTTTGTCGTGTGTGGCGAACAAGCCCTTGTGAAGTGGGTGATCTTCTCTCCACAAACTCGCCGTCGAAGTCGGTCTGGTTGAACATGTTACATTCCTACTTTCGAAACTACCGAGCTCCGATATCGTTCCAATACGGGTTTCATTCCAGTCCGCAGACCATCTCTAACGCCGGACATCTGGGACGGATCCTTCCGTAAACCAGTACGGTCTCCCGTGCTGATCGACGACGATCGGAATGGCAACAAAACTCCTCGCGTTTGGGATGTGGTTGCACTCGTGACTGTGTTCTTTTCCAGGATCGTGGGGTTCGTATGAATCGAACCGGCCCTAAACAACCATACTGTCATGCACCGCCCAAGTCTGCTTCCTAATGTCTCGTCATGAATCCCCTCTCAACCTCACAAATTCTGCTTTGTCATGTCCAATTCAGCAAAGCTCTGCGGTGCATATCCAGGACACAGCGTAATCGGTCCGATCCAAAAACTTCTATAATCGCCCATCAAGGGATCCGGGCAAGCGTCACGCAATCCCTCGGCAATGATCCTTGTGCTCCAAACGCAGTATGGGCGCGAGTGTTCATGTGCAGTTTGGTTGGGCGGGTGATTGGTCCATATGCAGGTCAGTACCGTGGGGTGGGGATCGTCCTGGCTGTGCATTGGATGGATCATGTCCTTGCTACAATCATTGGTGTGGGGCAGCGTGGGCCTGCTGCCCCTCCCTTCGAAAAAGACGTGTGTTGGATGTACGCCAACGGATACCGTCTTGCTCCATTTCATCCCTTGCAGCCCGGTCAACTCCCATTTGCAAGAGGAATTTCGGACCATACAGCCGATCATTCGTGCGTTTCTTACGAGTGAGTCATCGCGTTTGATATGGCGGGGTCGGCCTGCTGCCCCTCCCTTTGAGAACGATGTGTGTTCCTGCACGCCAACGGACATGATGTGCTCCTTTTTCATCCATCGTAGTCCCCTCAAATCCCTATCTGCAAGAAGAAATTGAAAATTCTATAAAACCGGTCATTCGTGCGTGTCTAGAGAGAGAGTGACTCATCGTCAGATCGATAAGATACTTGCAAGAGGAGTTCCAAGTCCCGTAAAGCCGATCATCCGTGGGTATCTTGCAAGCGAGTGACTCATCACCCATCAATGAGATTCAGATGTGCACCGATAGGGGCTGAAAAACACAATCAGACGCCCTATATATGTAGGTGCCGAGTCCGCAGTCTAGAGCTCGTCCTCCTGCTATTCTAATTTAGCCACCTGATTAGTAAGAAATGCGGAAAGTGAAGGCGGTGTGTGAGAAGCCGATGAAGCCGATTGATTGATCCGAAGACTGTTAACCATGTGGGAAAAGAAGGATTCTTCTAAAGTACTGACGCCGACACAAGTCATCGACAGCTTCAGAAGCAGGAATAAACCAGGCCGGCATCCACCAGCAAGTATGGATTGCGTGCCTTCCGCCGGATGTGATTCGGCCGTTGCACCGAGTTCAGGCTGATTATGGGAGTTGGAGAGCAACAAGAATGTGGCGAGATACTATATGCCAACGTCCATGCCGGCCAGGTCCCGCGAAACAGACCAGTTCAGTTCAAGGGATCGATGAGTCACGAGAAAACTGGTGACATGTTCATTACCGGTTTTGGGGTGGAGGCCAGGTACCGAAGTACCCCCCTCCTCCCCCCGGCGGGCGCCTAGTGGGGCGAAGTTGAGAGAAGGTGGCAACGAACGCCGAGGGGAGGGTAATTAGCGTACGTAAGGAATGGAAGGACGATGGTATTGCCGCAATCACTTCTCCTATGGTTGGGGTACAGGGACGGGACGGGGAAAGTCTCAATCAGGCAGCAGTGAACGATGAACGGGAGGCGAGAGCCACGCGAGCGATACAAAGAAGGAAGATGTCGCCGCCATCTTGTTGTTGAAGAATCATGACTTGACATGTAGCCAATGAGAGTGGACGACTGAAAGCGGAGTAAGTACGGATGTGGGAAATGGGATATGTGGGCCTGGTGATGGAATGGTTCTGAATGACAAGACGTCTGATGACAGAAGGGACATTAGCATGAGAAAGTGAGGAAGTAGATCTTCAATGGAAGGTATGCAGAAGCGGCAGCCCCGTGGCTCACACGTTTTGGCCAAACTGGTGGGAAAGTTTGGTTGTGGGCGCGCAGCCTACGCACATTTTCCATTTACACAGGCGTGGAGGCGGTGATGCGCCGGGGCCGGGCTTAGCGCCAATCTTGGGAAATATGTGCGTATGTGTATGTGTGACTGTATGGTTTGCTGGCGTAGACTCGTACCATGAACACACCACCGAATTTTTTTTGGCCTGTTGGTTTTTGGCCTACCCGTCATGTCGATGGCGTAGATAAGTGTAAGGTGGATTTTGTTCATTGCACGTATAGATTAGTAGATGTGGATGTATAGTGATATTTGTCCGTTCGTTGATCCGGGTAGTAGAAAGTGATAAAACGGGGAATGAATGTAATTAGCGGGGGTTCTCCAGGGCAAGAAGAGGAGAGAGTGAAATTGACAAAGGGCGCCTTGACGGTGCGCGACACAAGGCCATGACACACGCGCCCTCTCGGCCATTGTGCGTCCATCAGTATATCAACATATCCGCTATATCCGCTCTTTTCATTACACGTGGAAGGAATATGAGATACGTATGTGAAAATGGAGAATTGGAAGAAGAAGAGTAGAGAGGGATACTAATGAGAAAGAGACGATTGTGTTAACGGGCGTGGTTTAACGGCGAGGTGCGAACCAAAGGCCATCATCGCCGCTGGTCATTTATCCCCTGTGTCTGATGTTTATATAGCATATACCTTCCCTGCTCCCTCTCTCCCCTTCCGCTTCTCTACTCTGGACGACCATGGCACCCCTTCCTCCTGATCTTCAGGACGCCCTTACCCAGCTGTCCGTCCTCAAACGACGTCGAGTAACCCGCTCAACAACGACGTCCATCACCCGACTGGAGAATCAAGTGCAGGCCCTCCAAGCACCGGTCTACACTCTCCCAGTCGAAGTTGTATCTCACATCTTCCTCCTCGTTACAGCGGACGACCCTCGATTCCCGCTCACGCTCTCCCATGTCTCCCGCTCTTGGCGAGCAATTGCGCAGTCTTTCGCCCCCATCTGGGCTCGCATTCTCATCAGACTTCCCTACCGGCCGAGTTGGATGGATATCCACCGACGCTTGGAGGACGATGACGCAGAGGCCAGTCCTCCCCCAACAAGAAGCACATCCTCAAGTGGCGATACCGAGGGTGTCGACGAAGCCGACCCATATGCAGGGAACACGCGCGATGTGATAACCACCCGCAAGCAGCTCGCAAACCTCAATTACTACCTCTCTCGCTCCGGAACCGGTCCCCTCCTGCTTCAACTAGAGTGGAAAGAACACCTCCCCGACTCGCGCCATGTCGCCCTTGTCATCCCGCACGTCGGTCGGTGTACCACTCTACGACTGTACAATCGAGGAACATGCATGCCTCCCCTAGGCGACTTAGCACCTTGTCCAGGCGTAGCGAGACACTTGCGGACACTCGATCTAGCAGGATTCTGCCTGTCCAAGCAAGGAGACATCCTCCACCTGCTCGAGCACACGCCCGAACTCCGCTCCCTCGCACTGCGCGACGTGCACTGGGTTCCGCCAATATCCAACCCAGAGCTCTCGCCCCTCGCTGCAGTCAAACTGGAGCCCATGCCCACAAGCCCATTGAACCTGGAATACCTCTACGAGCTGCTGATCGACGAATGGAGTCCCTTCCTCTGCCAGTTCCTCCTTCCCTACCTCTTCACCCCCCGCCTACGGACACTAACGCTCAGCGCCCACACGTGCGAATCCAAGGGACTTCGGCGACTCGTCCTTTCCTGTCCCCAAGGCGCGTGGGACTCGGTCCGCCTTGTACGCGCGCGGGGTTGTGCATTCACGGACAACAACTCGCTCCAGCTCCTAGCCCGGGCGAAGAACATTGAGAATATCTGCATACACGGCGCCCTGATTAGCGATAATCTTCTTACAATCCTCAGCCGCCCACTACAGGGAGGAGGGTTCCTTGCCCCCAAGCTGAGACGAGCATGGTTCAAGAGCAAGCTAGGGTTTTCCCAAGCAGCAACGATGCGTTTCATCCGAGGTCGACTGCCCGGCAAGCAAAGTTCGGGGAAAGAACCGCAGGAACAGGTCAGCCAAGCAGAGGCAGTGAGGGAACGGAAGGCTCGACCGCCGCCGTTGGCCCCGGGGGGAGCGGGAATACACTTGGGCCAGCCGCTCCCGACGCCTGCGTCGTTGCCTCCTACTCCGGGGTTGTCTAACCCGTTCAACTTCCAACATGTTGATGCTATCCAACCTGAAAACGCTCCCCAACCTGTAAATGCTGTCCAACCTGCAAATTCTGTCCAACCTGCAAACGTCCCCCAACCTGTATACAATCTCCAACCCGTAAACGCTGTCCAATCTTCAAATGCTGTCCAGCCTGCAAGCGCTCCCCAACCTGTATACGCTTTCCAACATGTACATGCTCCCCAACCAATCTCCGCGGTCGAACCAGCTCACACCATCAAACCAGTTCACACTTTCGGACCAGTTCACACTATCGGACCAGTTCACACTATCGGACCAGCTAACGCGGTCGAACCTGCTAACACCGTCCAACCTCGCAACGCTGTCCGAGACTTCAGCCCCACTTCGCGTATAATCTCCGGGCATGTCCTCCCACCCACGCCTACTTCCCCAGCTGTTCCCTTCTCGCTCTCCCCAGAATTCGCGGGACCTTCTGTCCCGCCTCAGCCCATCTCCCCAACACCTGCTTCCACCTCCCAAGCACCCCCTTCTACCTTCGAGCTCGCATCTCCCTTACCTCAGTCCCCCACCCTCAGCGACGTTGAGAGCACGGGTTATGTACCCTATTCGGGTTCCTCACCCCCCATACCTACTATACCGGAAGAACTTGGTCCCATCGTCTTCGAAGACTTCCGGAGAAGGTTCGGGTTTGCCGATCCTGATGAGGCTGGGGAGGGGGAGGATGGGGCCGCTGCGGATGGGATGGACACAGAAGAATCGGCCATGGACACCCAGGCCGAGGAGATCGACCACTCCAGCTTGGTCTGGCATGGTGTTACCGCCCCTGAAGCGACTGGTGTTTCTGACCTACCTGAGACAGCTGATGTTGCCGGACCTGGGGCAGAGGATGACGCTGCCGGGGCTGAGTCGGAGGGTGATGCTGCCGAGGCTGGGGCAGAAGGTGATGCTGCCGAGGCTGGGACAGAGGATGCTGCTGAGGCTGAGGACGGTGCTATGCTGCAAGGAGCCGGCGCCGATGCTGTGGGAGAAACGACCAATGTTGGCGGGAATGCCGGAGCACCCGCTGAAGACCCCGGCGACACTGGAGAGACGGGCGATTCCCCACCTGCTGGTGTTGCTGACAACACGGGAGGTCATGAGTTCTCCAACTGGAACTCGCCGATCATGACATCTATTGACGAAGAGACTCTGGTAGGAACGAACGAATGGATTTCGTGGAGAGGAGATGAAGGCTCGTCGTCTTTTGGGACTCAGGTGGAACGCCCTAGGTTTGTGAGCCATGGGCGCCGGCTGAGAGTGATTCGAACTTGAGAATGGCTTCTGCGCTGGGGAAGAAACAGGATCCGAACCCAGTCCGACATATATGCGACTTTCGTCCTAGGTCCTGATATTGATATGGGGTTGGTGAGATAGGTGTCGCCGCTGCTTGTGGACAGGTGTCGCACTTCTCGGTACGACTCAACTAAAGCAAGCATCAGCTTGAATACGAAAACCTCATGCATCGCTTTCCGAATTGTACACGAGTCGCAGTGCGCGTCCTATTGCCGCTGTGAGGCCATTCTGGACCGCTGGGTTCACCTGGCAGGGCAGGCCGTTTCGTTGGAACGTGCTGACTCGCCAGGCTTATCAGGTTCCTTCAATCTCTTCTATGGTCAGCTTCAATCTCAATTTCACTAGTCTCCGGAGTTCTGTAGTCTCATTCTCATGGGTGCAAAAACTGGATGAAGATTTCACGACTTTTCCTTCTTTTTTCTGCTCTCAACCTGATTTTCTGTTGTATAACGCTTTCTCTCTCTCTTACTTTTCAAGTGATCACCGCTTCCTATATTCTCTTCCTCTCTTCCTGCCCCTGTGACGTTGTATCGTTAGGATCTTGTCCGCGGTTCCTTCTCATGGTCCAGTCTCGCTCATTCAGGACTTCTTGCATGCTTCCCAGTGTGTTCAGAGGTGGAAGGTGCACTTGCCTTCTACCTTGAACTCTCCAATCCTCACTTCCATGTGCCTCGGCACATCTATGTACTGTCATCATCGCTGCTTTCCACCCCATCCATTTCCATCCTCTTCTTACTACAACACCTCTTTCCAGTCACTTACTCGCATTTTCACATACCCCACGACCCCTAGACACTGAGTCTGTACTACTTACACACAATGGTAAAACCCTTGCACGCGCATATCTTCAAGAGAGCCGACATGCTGGCACTGATGATTATGTAAGAAGCCCAATGTCCGTTCGCACCTGCTGCATAGCAATCGGGTGAAGGAGGGCGGAAACCAAAACATCGGCCGTTACACAATAGTATACATAACACTGCAGAAAGTGTATGTCCTCCGGGTCCAGTACTCAAATCTTCAAAGTTCAACCCAATTCCTCCGTCTCGAGCGTTCAAGCTGTTGGAGCGCAACGTCACTGTACTTCTGTAACAACGTGGTCTGTTCTCGTGCCTCCATTATCCGATGCCATAGCAGATAAAAGGTGGCAATCGTGGCCAGGGGAAGAACATAGGTGAGGGAATTCCACAAAATAACCACGTGAAATTCGCTTGCAGATGACGGTATGGCGAAGAAGCACTGACATTGGTTTCAATGTGTGGACTGAGAACAAAGAGGCGCGAACGTACAGCAAAGAACGTTGCAGGCAAGAAGGCCAATATCACGAGGGAAGCCATGGTTGAAGATAAACTGTTACCCACTCTGGCCTTGCTGTCTCGTTGGGCAATCATACTTTGCATCTATGATCATTGCATTAGTATTCTTAGTCTTCTATCAGATGATCACATACTGCATAAAGGTGGGTCTTTAAGCTTTCCTTCATCTGTACCATTTGAAATGAGCGACTTGAATTCACAGAGTCAAGGTGATAGATATCGCGTAGAAAAGTGTCGTTAGAATTGCGAACTTGCATCAAAAAATCTTGCTTCCAAAGATGGCTGCTCTGAGGAATGCCGGTCGTGACCACTCCCGTGCTCACAACTGTGTCCAGCCAAGGTTGGAGTTTTTGGAGCGTCGCCAGCAACAGCTCGACCCTCAGATGGATGAAGCCGATGTCAACGCTCAGCGCGCTAATTTGGAGTATGTGATTCTCGAAATCGTCGATTATATCGTCCTTCTGTCTTCCCGATTTCTTTGAACCGCGATGACTGTGATCCCAAGATGGTTTTCCGAATGCACGAAAGGGTTTGACATCGAAGCTCGACCCAATTGCCCTCGTGACTCTCAGCGCGATCTGCTGATTCCGCTGCTGTAGAAGCAACAGAGGGATCAAAAGGGGATGCCATGCAGATGAAGCGGAGCGCTGGATCATGGCCACTATGTCCTCGCTGGCTGCTTGGCCTGGCTGGTCTATTAGACCCAGCAGGAGCGCATAGGTGGTCTGCGTCAACTGGTCATAGGATAGCCCTAGGCAACACCCATCCTGGTCGAAGGTCGTCAAGCGCATCAGCAGGCCTGTACGAAACCGTTAGGTTTTGACGGACCCGCAGACGAACTCGTGAACACGTACATAGTCGACGCGAGTTTTGCGAATGATTTTCAAAGAAGTAGGTCATGAACTCGTGATGATCTTCGGCTGCATCCAGCATTTGCGCGGGAAGGAGCCATTCCCTCTGAATCATATCAAATGTTTCTCTGTCGAGCGGTAACCTTGAGGGTGACGTAGCGCTATTAGCTCTTTTCCCGATTCTACAAGCTCTTTTGTTAATATGCGATAGAGCAGCAAGGGATGGGACGCCTACATCAACCGCAATTTCCACGAGGTTGGGCATTCCTTATCCATACACTCAACATCTTCGGACGGCATAGGTAGAAAATGTAGAGCACTCACCTTGCGAAGCCATTCTCGCACCTCAGTCGCCACCCCGTCCTTTTTCCATTGCTCTGCTGGCTTGCCGCCATTCTACCAGTTCCGTGAGATCCCAGCCACAATCCAGAGAACGCCTAGGACGTACAGCGTGCATGATGTCCACAAACGGCTCCATCGGGTTACCTTGCGAGATCGGGGTTTCTGGAATGGGAAATTTAGGTGTCTCTCTTGCTGTTGGGGCATTCTCATCCGGCGCGAAGATAGACGACTGTCGGGTTAACGATGGTGTCCGTTCTCCAGACGTACGAGGACTATTGAATGAATAGGTGTTGCTTCCCTCCGTGACAGACAGGTAGGCCGGGCGCTCCAAGTCCATCGGCGTGGCGGGAGTCGAGCGACGGCCAGGAGTGGGCGGTTGTACTCGGACTATAATAGGCGTTGTTGGGGACCTGGGAGACAATAGTTCCACCCTCATTGGGAAGACTGATGGATCTGGCACCGCACGTTCGACCCAGGCCCTTGACACCCCGATATGTGTAGTTCCATCCGCCTCCAGCTTCTGCCCTCTCTCTTGCGTCCGTTCTGGATACTCAGAAGGGAGAAACTTCGTAGTACTGTTCTCCTGACCATCGCCAGTGTCTGCGTCAGTTTCAGACGGGGGGATGATATTGATCTTGAGGTCGCCGTCCGGCATAAGCGTTCCAGGTACGGTCATATGAGGTCGTGGAAAGACCACATGTGATAGACCTGGAGCTGGACCTGGTTCCGGGAGGACAGAGGAACTGACCATCATCTCCCTCGCACTAGCGGGGACGCCTGGTAGTGTTCGGAGGTCGTCAAGCGCGCCGTCGATCACGCTCACGCTCGGGGTCCAGTCTACCCATGAGTATGGACGAGATGGTGGGCCCTCGGGACTCTCTGACGCAGTCGATTTAGCGGGATGCTGCCGTTCGAGCGGCGGATAGTACACGCTCGGAGTGAGCAGGGGCGTTCCGATAGCTCGAGGGGAGGCATACACAGTCCCCGTGCTCCCGGATAAGGAGCTAAGCGAAGAGCTCCGCGCATGTTTAGGCGGGCGTAAGAGCTCCTCCGATGCAGAGTAGTACAGCTTGGGAAAATCGGGGATCGTGGGTGGAGGAGGTGCCCGAGGGGCGCGGTTGGAGCGTGCTTGGGAGGAGGAAGCTTCCAGTGCCTGCAGGGTGGGTTCGCTTATGGGCACGGCGGGAAGTGCTCGATGGTGGGGTGGTGCGCTACTGAGAAGTGTTGCATAGAAAAAGTCCGATCTGGGGCGCTCGAGAGCCGGCGACGTGGGTGCAGAATCCGACGACGGAAAACCGCTCAACTGGGAGTAGACCATCCCTGTCTCGCCTGCTATGTGGCCATTAGACCTGGGATCCTCCATGGCAAAAGAGATGTTGCGCCTCTTTGCTAGGAACTCGAGTTCGTCGTCCCTGGAGAGAGACATCGTGGGAGCACAGGGAAAGGGCGTGTGAGGAGTGCGGGGTTCAAGCGCTTATACATAGGATGCCAGGCGCCTACGCTGACAATCCCGAGTGTCAGCCTGCAACGCTAGCGTCCGGCATCAGCATAAGCCCGTGGTTCTTGACATGCTTATCTGCCAGCCAGCGGTGCTGCGTAGTCGATATTGTCTGGATTGGGAAAAGTCCTCGATTGGGTCGGACAAGTTGACACGCCTTTGACACGCGTCCCCTCGGATTTGATTTCGGCTCCGAAGAGACTGTCCATAACTCGAAAGCAGCAACCAGGAGCGAGGGAGGAGACAAAAGCCGTCCTACTAGATGTAGGCTGCGTCAGGCGTGGCAAGATCGCCAAACAAGAGCGGGGCACTTACGCGCTTCTGTGTATACCCCTAATGGAAGCTGGAAGCTGGAATAGGCGCCCGTAGGCACACATAACGGCTGACACATCCCCACACCGGTACCATGCTATCGGGCACCGAGAGAACGTTGATCCTTCCCGCTCTTGCTTCTGCGTCCTGGCAGTTTGCGAGCAGATCGGCAGATGTCCTCCTTTGGCAAGTGCAGAAAGTCGCACGAACCCAGGGCAGCACAAGCACAAGCACAAAACCCTGGGGTAGGCCTACCCCGGAGCCGGTTACTGAAGGCCTGGACTCTTTTCGAGGACTGAACCGAGCTTCTTCCCTGGAAGTTTGGACAACGTTGGTGGTGATGCTGGCTGTGTCATTTATGGATGAGGATGACCGGGCTGCCGGTCCTGTACTTCCTGAGCGAAACTTTCTTGGATGCTGACTGAGGAACAGCTATATTTGTACTGGGAGTCGGGGAGTGCCCGACCGGACCTGACCTGACGTGCAAGAGCTGGTGCTGATCATGAGCTGGGGATGGTGACGGTCGTCTGCTGGGAAGGAGTGCGCTGGAGTGCGCAGGAGCAAGGGGTCGATCGTAACAACAGGGGTGATAAAGACGCTGCTGACTTTTCTTTGCAGATGGAAGATGCATGCGGAACAGGGGAAAAAGAAAACAGAGAGATGCAGGCCAATACGGATGCCAGAAGCGGGTGCGTGCATTGCCCGTTTTGAAACTCGGATGTGCCGGCGTGTTGACGGGGACACGGTTGCACGAGCAAGAAGTGAGACACGTTTGATTGTTACATATGATGCATATGCATGTTATTATCTTCGGTTATTGGCGAAGGGAGTCGAAGGCAGTAGTGTTGCACAGATTGAGAGGCGTATGGGTCGGGACATGGGTCGGCAGGATAATGACAGCATTAACGCATACATGGCACTGCGCTTAGAGCCGATAATACGCTGATACTGAGGCACGGGCGTTCGGTGCGGTGCTCGGCGGTTTCCGCAATAAGGTTGAACGATATACTTTGTGGCAGTTTTGCGTTTTGCGTTATTTGTGCGCTGTTCCCCCTGCGCACGGGCCCCGAAATGCACGACCGACCTTGTCGCACACGTTTGAGGCCGAGTGTCTAGGCGCAGCGGCGGATCCGGGGCGCAAGAGGGTGTACCGCGCCTCCGTGTTTACCTTTTTGAGCACTGGGCCCGCGCCTTGCCCACCAGCGTCGTGGAAGTTTAGGTGATAGTTTTGTATTTCTGTTCGTTGAATTTTGTCATTTTTTGCGTGGGTGAGTTGGTGACGAGAGAGCGGATCAGCGGAGGTGAAGGAGTCGTTTTTTTTTTTTACTTTGCGGGTCACCAACGCGGCCTAGGGATGGGGGTAGCGTGGCTTGATCCCCTAAAGTTGAAATGGGGTTGAACCCCCGGAGATGACGGATGTTTTACGTCATTACCCGAAGCGACCCGAACTCGTGACGCCCCTCTGGTGATGTGTTGCTGGATGGTAGGTGAAAGGCACAGCGCATACGCGATGCTCTGCATAAACCAACGGCAGGCGCTTTGCGGGATCGGTGGAATAGGGAAAATAGGGGAGGCGAACAGCCAGTATATTCATTACACCAAACACCGTGGCCGTCGTATTCCACTCATTCAACTCTCACTTTTTCACTCTACATCGCACCCCATCCCGCTACACCTCATCCTTACTTACCACAACCCCACCACCCCCCCTTATATAAACACAGGCATCTTCCTACCCCAAAGCTCAAATGACAATCGTCTCATCCGTACCGACCTCACCTGCTGTAGAGTGCAAGGTCGACTGGTCTGTAATCCCTTCAACACAACAACTCGAACGCATGAAGCTCGACAAGCGAATGTGGGAACCCCTCGAGGGCGTCCCTAAACAGAAACTAAACGTACTGGGAGGTGAGATCCTCCCAGAGGAGGAGGAGGATATCGACGAGGCCCTCTCAGAGGGTGGGCTCGTCGCTGTAGGAGAACCCGGCTCATGGGTACACAACATCAAGGTGAGCGTCTATCTATAATCTCACGTGTATGCGCGCTAACTGTGTGCGTAGACGATGCACATCGGTCTGGCAGCCAAGCAAACCGGTCCACAAGAAGTAGAGATTGGCTACTCCATCTCCGACGGTGTGTACTCGATCGACTACGCAGTACACAAGGTCGACATATCAACCGTCGACGACGTCCCGCACACTATCGCCTTCGCTGTCTTGGAAGGCATCATGGCCTTCTCCGGTAGGCATATGGTCAAGTTCGTATGTGCAGGCGTCGGGTCCAAGCTCGTGGGTATATGCCCACGTCTACCCAGTCTCCTGTGGAGCAAGCTCGACATCATCCCCTATGTCATGCCTGCGGGCGAGTTCGACTACGACGCACCTGTTGACGAGCTCGCGGATAGCATGGTTCGCAAAGCTACCATGTGGATCGGACCCCAGGAGATGCCGCGACTCGATATCGCCGGCCGGAACGTGGTCAACGTCGATGGTGGTGGGATCAAACTCTGTGATTTACAAGACTATGAGCGGAGCGTGGGAGAGCCCGTTTGGCGGGCTGTTAGCACGCTGTGTCAGGAGCTGAAGGAGCGTCAGGTCAAAGTCCGGTTCTTCAGTGCGACACCCCAAGGTTGGCATATCTGGTCCATGCGTTGTTGAAACATGCTGACAGACTTCAGGTGGTGGAGTCGCGTTAATGCGTCATGCGCTCGTCCGTTTCTTCCGTCTTATGGGTGTTGACTGCCAGTGGTTCGTGCCCAAGCCCAATCCCGCAGTATTCCGCGTCACCAAGACCAATCACAACATCCTCCAAGGCGTGGCCGAACCCAACAAGCGCCTAGGAGAGGAGGACAAGCACCAATGGGACCAGTGGATCCAGAGCAATGCCGACCGGTACTGGTTCAGGAAAGGTGGTCCATTGGCCGACGGAGGCGCGGATGTGGTAATAATTGATGATCCTCAGATGGTGCGTCCTTTCCCCACAGAAGTTTGTTTTTCTCTGTCGAGTGTGGCTCTAACCGGGGTTTCTCCGTCCAGATCGGCCTTATCCCGATGATCAAGGAGCGCCACCCGACCTTGCCAGTCATCTATCGTTCACACATAGAGATCCGCAGCGACCTCACCAAGATCGAAGGCTCGCCGCAGCAGGGTGTATGGCAGTTCCTCTGGAAGCACATCAAGCCGGCAGACCTGTTCATCGCCCACCCCGTGGCAGGCTTTATCCCGACAGAAGTCAACATCAAGGATGTAGGTCTCATGCCGGCAACAACAGACTGGTACGTAAATCCTCCTCGTTCCCTCATATACCCGACTCACACGTATCAGGCTCGACGGGCTTAACAAGCCTATCGCTCAATGGGACACGCAGTACTACTTCCGCCAGTTCGCAAACGGATGTCTCTCTGATCGGATGACAAATCTCGCATTCCCGAGTAGGGGCTACATCTGCCAGGTGGCCCGGTTCGACCCTTCTAAAGGTCCGTTTCACATGCATATACCCGATTGCCAGCTGACATAACGCAGGTATTCCCGATGTACTCGACTCGTATGCCAAGCTGCGGCAGAGACTGGAGGAAGAGGGCGTCGCACGGGAAAACACACCCCAACTCCTTATCTGCGGTCACGGCGCTATCGACGACCCCGACGGCACCTTCATCTATGACGAGACATGCCAGGCTATCAACACCGATGGTCTGCGTCAGTACAAGAACGACATTATCGTCATGCGTCTCGGGCCGAGTGACCAGATCCTCAACGTCCTCCTCTCCAACTCCCGCATCGCCCTCCAGCTTTCGCACCGCGAAGGCTTCGAAGTCAAGGTGTCCGAAGCGCTACACAAGAACATTCCTACAGTCGCGTACGCTTCGGGCGGGATCCCGCTCCAGATTAGGCACGGGCACAATGGCTTCCTTGTCAAGACGGGCGATACGGCCATGGTCGCTCAACATCTGTACGACCTGTGGATGAACACGGACGGGATCTACGAGAAGCTCCAAGCGCACACGGACGTCGTCGTTTCCGACGAAGTGAGCACAGTGGGGAACGCCACCTGCTGGGCGTATCTCGCCGGCGTGCTGAGCAAAGGCGAAAAGCTGCAACCGAACGGGCGGTGGATTTACGACATGGCGCGGGAAGCTGCTGGTGTGCCGGTTGAGAAGGAGGAGCAGGTTCTCCCCCGCAAGGCGCTCCATCTAGACATCTGATTTGACTGTATGCTCCGCTGAGTGGTACGTCCGGAGGCGATCAAGAGAGACATGTGTATGTGGAGAGTTACCCGGAGAGCCGGAGACTGAGGAGTTGGAGCTGAAACTGAAACTGAAAGTGTAGACGGACAATATCTCTTGTGGACCCAACCGGATCGTACCGGTAGATAGACCGATGATCGAGTTTTTCTTACGAACTATTACGAAGGCTGATTGTACTGCGGCAAGTTGCGAGTGAAGATAGGAGCTCGCGCCCGCACTCACGATCGCATTGTGGTTGTTTGTTGTTTTCTCATGAAAGTGTGCACATATTTGTATTAATCAGTGTACAGTAATTGCCTCATGTTTTTCCGCCGTTTTCGAAACTCATCAAAATTCTTGGGATCCGCCGAATATTCTCCCCCCCTGACTCGTTGTTACGAGCGATTACATTTCAATGCCATGATTGTCGCTGAAAAGCAACAGTGGGAGCATGAGACCAAGAGCCGCATAAAGACAACAAGCAGGACAGAGTACTCTGTCCTGCTTGTTGTCTTTAATGGCAACTAGTTGCCATGCCGTCTCCGCGGCGGGGACGGAGGAATGAAAGCCATTGTGAAAGTCAATCGATGAATGGAAACTCTTTATAAGTCGATGTTGCCTTGAATGCAACGGCGTGGCACAGACGAGGGAGGCACATGCCAACCCCAGGGCGGGGGGGGCAACGTGCGCCTGCGAAGACGCACCGCACGGGCTTCTCTTCGGTTACCCAGGGTTGTTGCCCACGGCCACCTGTCCAGCTGCCCACCGCCTTGGGTGCAAGACTGGCGAACCTGCCGAACACCTTCCTTATATACATCCCCGGAACATCAACCGCCCGAGGCCGGGGCGGGAAGTGAGGAGGCCGGTGCTTCTCTTCCAATCCTGTGCCTTGCGGGTGAAACGCAACAATGAACGAAAAGAGCTTCCAGATTGATTGATCACAATCTATCGGCTGATCAACGCTCAAGGAAGTTTTCCGAGCTTTCCGCGCCGGCGGCTGCTGGCTGTGCCAATTCAAGAACGACGATGGCGCTGGAATTCCTCCGTACTGTGGGAAGACAGCGCATCCCTAGAAAGTTCATGCGATTGAATGGCATACAGCTTAGCGGAGTCGGAGTTTGTCCCTTGTTATTATCCGATCCGATAGCCTGATTGAAGGAGTGTGGAGGTCCGAGATGACGGGCGAATAAGAGCGCAGAGTTTTTGCTATGTATGCGGAATATTCTCTTCCCGCACAGATTCCTGATCTATGACCACATGACTACCACCGCTGAGTATCAAAACAGACAAACTCAGCTCCCCTCCCGACTTTTAGCAGGGAGTTGCGCTGGCAGCCCGTCTGCCGTTGTCGACGGAGCTTCGAGCTCAGGGGCTACAATATTATTGGGCTCCCTTATATGAACTTATAGTTAACCGTGTAAGAATCTATCAAAGGCAGAATGTACTTGCGCGGAGCTTGGAACGGACGGCTGTGTGTGATGAGCAGAGAAGCGTTGATATCCGGTAGTGTCCGAGTTCCGCCTCTGCAGAAGCAGGCCAGTCATATCGAATCGTTTCCCCAGGTTGCCATTCGAGGATGACTGACAGCAAATGCCCTTGAGGTGACAGGAATGCTGGTTGTGATCGAAATAAGTGTTCAGGGCCATGGAAAGGAGATACTTGTGCTTCATGTCCCAAGCCCCCGATGCTCCCGGGTCATTCACAAGCGCGGGGAATACAAAAGGGTTAAGGCCGTAGGTGACAGCGGGTTTATCGCTGACCGAATGCCATCGGGAGTTTAACATTCCATTTCGACGCCCTGTGGCCTGCAGCGGTGTGAAACGGGGGAATATTGGCGCCTGCCTCATGTACTTATTCATTTCACATAGTGAAGATTAGAGTGGCAACAAGAGAAGTCCAGAACATTGCAGGGTTAAGAGGGCGAGAGGGGGAGCGGGGCCGACTGGTCGTCCACTTTCCGGGTACGGCCGCCCGTCACTAGGCAGATAGGTCAGGTGTCGTTTAGGTTGCAAGAATATTCCGGGGCGAGGACAATATGCGAGGAGTGGGATATTAGCCCTCCCCATTTGGATTAGGAAAGAATGGACCAAGCACACGGATATCACAGCGCTTATGGCTCTTTCAGGCGAATATCGCTGGGTGGGCGGACATGGGCCCCATCACCGCCTTGCCACATCGAACAGCCCGCGAAAGAGGATATTCCTTGACGATGCGCTATCGATCTTTTTCGGGTCATGGACAACCTACCGTCAAATTCACAAGAGAACGGGGCAACAAAAGTCATTTCCCTGCTGGCTGTGCGCGCTCTAGCCCAATCACATATCGGCCCCTTCCGTTCGGACGTATCCGACCCTGGACGCCGGCAAGTGTACTGCGAAAGGACGACGAGGAAGAGAAGGTGGGGGCGTGTGTGCAGGTTCTGATCTCGCAGATGGCCCGATGCTGAGGCTGATGATGAGATGGAGGTCTACCGCGTGGGTACTTTTGGCCTGTGGTGCCATCTGCTTTGATTTTTGATGTCCGGTTAGATGCGGCAGATATGGTGATGGAATTTCGGATGAATGGAGGGGAGGCTCGAGGGTGTGGTCGTCTCTTGGAGAGGAGCCACCAGCTGGTGGACGAGAAGGAAAGGAAGATCTGCCAGTGCTCCTCCGTCTTGCTCCATCCAACAACTCGAGTATGCTCCCCTGCATTCTGTCACTTGGATGCCTTCTCTGGCACGGGCGCGCGGCAGATTAATGCTCAGGTACTTATTTCAGATTCAACCTCGAGCCGGGTTCCTCTTCTTGCGCTCCTCACACATCCCTGCCCTCCCTCCTTCCCTTTCCCAGTTTGCCCCCTCCTCCTCCTCCTCTTCCCCTGCACCTTATCGACTCGAGTCTATTCTCACACTTGCTCATTTCTTTTTCCCCACAGACCCTGTGGCTTTGTGCGATTCCGCGCGAGGCGGACTCATGAAGATGAACTACTGGGACGTGGTCATCGCCGACCCTGCCACACCTCCTCTGCGGCCAAGGACCGTCGATGAACCCTCGTATCATGCCTCCGCTACCTCCGTCTCACGGCATACTCTGCCTCCACGAGAATTATCAAACACAACTTACTCCCCCGTCACCACTTCTTACTCCCCTGCTATACCGCCCACATCTGCCACCACATCTCCAACACCAGTCTACGCACCACGCCCTCACGATTCATACAACAACCGACAGCAACGTCAACACATACCACAACCGTTGATATCGCCTCTCCCGTCCATAATCGAGCCAGCAAGCCCGAACACCGCCGCACTTGTGTACAAGAGAATTACACCGTATCCCAACCTGAGCAACCTCCCAAACTCATATACCGGCTTCCACCCAGCCCTGTACCCTGACGCGCCCGAGACACCTCTCAACTACAACGAATATGTTCACCCCATACACCCCCACCGTTTCCACGTCGACCAGCAGTACCCCAATATTAATGAGGCATCTCCAGCAAGACGTGGACGTGCACCCAGCCCAGAAGAACCGGGATACCCATCCAGGCACGCGGGTGCGACCGAGAACCGCCCGATGAAGACGCCCCCTACCGAAGCCCCACCCGCCGCTCTGGATCCGTACGATGATTTCTTCGAGTTTGTTGCGGGAAGACAGGTGCCGCGTAGGCCCTGCGTGTATGGACTGCCGATTGATGAAGAGTACGCCCCTGATCTATTGTCATGTTATCCGAATCCGACTAACCATCATTCTAGGGAACGAACGGTGAGTGGTGCTGAATGCATCGGCGAGTAGCACATGCTGATCGCCACGTCGTGTTGCAGAGGCTCGATATAGGTCATCAAATGATCCTCAGGGCACAGCCTGGCTTGTTCCTCGGTCCCGTGAAAGACGTACTGGAGTGTTCATCGGGCGATGACCGCAAACATATCCTCGATGTCGGAACAGGTGTGTCTTGCGCCGGCGATGACCGCATTTGCCGATGATTGATGACATTGTTGAAGGAAATGGTTCCTGGGCCGCGGAGGTAGCCAACCTTCACAAAAATGCGATCGTCCATGCGATCGATCTAATTCCACTCTCGCGGTACGTCTCTGTCAGCTTCGGCATCGGGCATCGATCTGATGCTGCAGAAACAGGCAACTTCCAAATAACGCCCAGTGAGTGTCGGCAATCTGATTCTAATTTTATGGATGCTGACATTCACCCGGCATTAGCTTCTTTAGGCAAGATGTAAATCGGGGTATTTCCATGAAAAGCGAAATGTACGATCTTGTCCACGCGCGGAATTTACAATTGGGCGTAAGCAATTCCCTTTTATATGTCGGAAATGAAATAACGCCCGTGACTTCCGCACTAGATACCTGATTATCCCAAGTTTATCGATGAGTGCGCTAGGGTACTCAAGCCCCGCGGGCTAGTGAATCTGATCGAGGGCGTGCGTCATGTCTAATTTCTATATTCAAAGTTGTTTTGGGCTTATAACGACCCAGGATTGGGATATCTTCGACTCGGATGGTAATCCGGTTACGTTGTACAAGAACCCGGGGTGGTTCCACTGGATACAGGCATGGAGAGGCGCAGTCATGCAAAAGAACATCGACCTACAGGCGCCGCAGAAGACAGACCAGTGGCTCAAGGACTCGCCGTATTTCACCGATGTGAAGGCAACTGCGCACTGGATGCCGGTGGGACCATGGACAAATGGTAAGGAAATTTGAGTTGGATCACAAATCGACGCTGACCGAGGACAGACGCGGACATGAATCAACTCGGCGAGGTGGTGTGGGAGAACCTCAAGTACCTCATTCCTTCCATTCGGCCATTACTCACAGAGTACTATCGCGGTGACCAAGTCACGGCCGATATCATCGTGCAGCATGCCTGGGCGGAGCTCGCAAGCCCTCATTCCCATGTTTTCATGCGCTGGCGGTTCTTCTGGGGCCGAAGGAATAACCGTCCCTATCATCCCGGCGGTCCTCTGCCGCGTAGACTGCGGAAGGGCAAGGATAAGGCCACAGCTCCTGCTAAGAGTGAGCCGAGCAGCGCTCGAGCCTAGATCATCCCCCTAGCATGTCCAGATCATACGCGATATACCCCGAGGAATGAATGTATACAAATCTAGAAACGGATGGCGGCGGTATCTCATGTACAGCGTAACAAATTCCCGCTCTTGTGTCTTTAGCCTCTTCTTGTACAAATGTAATGGTAAATGGTTTGTACGGATTCTCGTATACTTCTGATGTCTGCCATCCCTTTTTTTAAAGGGTTTTGGGGATGCCCCAGAATGCTGACTCGCTCTGAGAACTGACGTGGTAGTGCATCCTTCTTGCTGCTTCGGAGCGGCTTGTATTTGTTGATTCCTTCACGTGTGTCCGCCTCGGCGAATGAAATGTTACTCGATGGGGTTCCCCTACGTTGTTCGCTTGTCGTCCCCTTTGAGGACGACGAGAAGAACTCTCCTTGGAATTTCGGCTTCAGTCCCGATGCAGTCGCATTGTCGGACACAGTCAAGAACATCAGATTGTTGCTCCACAGAATTGATAAAAACACTGACAATTTGAGAAGGGACTCGACCTCCACGGCGAGGTACTTTCCCTTGACGAACTGAGCTGATGCAAGACGATCCTCACGCTGACTGGCTGAGACAAAGTACCCATGTTCAACCAGTACTCGAAGAGCAACCGATGTTCCCGATTGTAATACCCGCAGCACAGGTTAGACGCAGATCACAAAACCAGCGTCTCAGAATAGCACAGCCGTGGAGTGCCCACCGATAATGAGCAGCAAACAGTTGGAGCGCATATGTTGATCCGAGAGATCGGCGGTACTTCAAGACACCCAAAGCATTTATGCAATGAACATCGACTAGAGAGACGCTGATAGAGCATGCGGAGATCCTTCAACGATCAGGAGCCTTGTCAGTGGAAGGAGAATGAAAAGCCATAATGTGCTGATAAGGCACCGCCCGCTAACTGCAATCACCACTACAGACGAGTAGGCACGTCGCGATTCCGTTTGTACAACGCCGATGGGTTGTAATAGCAAAGAATATGTAAGTGTGTCAGACTGGGGATATGTGTTTCGCAGACAGTACTTGGGGTGCGAAGAAGATTTGCATCGCCGCACGTCACGCGTCCAACTCCAATCACAACCAACACGCTGGGTCCACTGCTCACGATTTTCTCGATTCCTAAACTAGCACAAAGCGCCGTATCACTGAGAAAGGGGAACTGCACTCTCAACCTCGTCACTCATTTGTCTGGAAGTAGTACTGATAGGGGAAAATCCATCCGCTCCTACATAATCCCACCGGTATCTCAGTCTCCGCGTCAAGCATCAGCTCCTGTTCCGTTCCACCCATCCGGGAGGCGGTCCAGGCGGCTGCCATCCAATGGTCAAAACTAGGCGAAAATGGGAATATGTTCCACTCACCGGTGTATAGATAGGCTGCATGTTCTGTACATCCGCGACTTTACTGATCTCTCCAACTTCCCTAAGATCTTCGGTATTTCTCGTCCGCCGCGGCCTGCAGCATGCGCCCGATCCCAGAATACAACATCCGATCACGCCACAGCAACAAAGACAAATGAGAACGATGATAGCGAGAACCACGGCTATTCCGATGCCGATGCCAGCCTACTGGCTGGCTGAGAGACGATGAGCAGCGGAAGTTGTGGTGCTGTCAAGAGATTAGCTGCATATATCATGGTTTCTCAATAGCCACTTACTTAGGAGTAACTTTAACTGTTACATAGGATTTGATGGTGGACGTCATGACTCTTGCCGCAGCAGACGTGACGGGATGAGAGGATGGGGTGGTTGGATGGCCAGACGTGTTCGACAAGCTGTGTACGGAGGTTGGTGAAGCAGCGAACTTCATTGTAGAGGTAAAAACCACGGCAGCAGTAGATGTGAGACGATGGAAGAAGGATGTGGTAGTCGGACCGCGAGAAGAAGTCGTACTAAGACGGCGAGAGGTTGTCGGCGAGCTCTTCAGGGAGGTTAGTGGCAGGAGGAACCTCATCACTTCGTCTGAAATGAGGATTGAGGTGTTTTCACTATTCAGACCGCGTTTATATACGGCCGACTGATGCTCTTAGTGCGGAGCTAGAAGTCGGGGGTTTGTATTGCCGACCTCGAGGCGAATGTGCCCGTTCGGCATGCAACGAGGTGTGAGTCATTTCCCGCGAACATCTTCTCACGACAAGTTAACCTCGGTCCCCGCCCGCTTTTGCCTGTGATTACAACGACATTCTTGGGACCCAGAGAGACATCGCCTGTGTATACTTCCTGTTTGCTGGTCTCTCATACATTAGTATGTTTTTCGGTCGCCGCCTGGGTGTTACCGTCAATCAAGAACAAGTTCTCAGTGGAAACGATGTGCATTGGTGTCTCATAGTGATGTTCACCACATACCTTCCCTTCAAAATTTTCGACCTACTGCACGAGTGTCCCTTTCCACTGCAGCATACTCGCTCCGCAAGTCACGATATTAGGTGCCACACTGGGATACATTATGCCCGGAAAATCGCGATAGGTACGACTCCTACTGATACAATGCTCGCCTACTGGTCAGGAGGATCTACAAACATGTATACTTGTTTTCGTCCGACCTTGGAACCACTACCGAGAAAAATAAATGGCAAGTGTCGTATGGAATGTTGCGATATCAATGTTCGATTGCTGGGTATTATATATTTGACGTTGTTGGAACTCGGACAACGGCAGTCATTGACGACCTTCTAGTTTCTTTGGTGATGAACGCATCTCGTATGCCTTAGTCATCCTTGTCTGGTCAGCGATGCGGGAAGCTCTTCGTGCAGCATCGGCTTCACTGTCTGCGAGTCGTTGTTGTCCTATCGGAGTACCGAAGCGCGCGAGGTTGTAGCCGCACCAGACGACGGTGATCACTACGAAGAGTCCAAATATGGAAGCTAGATTATGTTGTAGTCAGTCCTCCAGTCGGAATGAATGGCACAGCTCGAGTCAATTCACCGAAAACGACCCCAACGATAAGCCCGCCCGACGTGCTCATCTCCCCTCACCTCTGCTGTGGACAGTTGACGATTGGCCCAGCGCTGGAGACCTGGACGAGAGCGGCGAGGGGAAGAGATGTGGACCCACCGCCTCACTTCAAGCGATAATCCACGATACGACCGCGTTTTATGCACTAGCATCAGACGTTAAATCATTGAAACTGCGCGAACCAAAGCTGTCATGTGCGTGAGAAGTCGGAAACCTCCGGCTCGGTAGCGCCGATGCAGACTTTTTTGTCAGTCAAAGCATATCGGTTCAGTTAACAAAACTAATCAGAAGCAAGTTTGAAAGGGACCAGGGGGCGACGCCCTGGCTTCCCCTGGCTTCTCCCGGGCTGGCGGAGTCTCGCTGCTTGCTTCGTTCGAGTGGTGGCGCAAAGACTATTCAGATTTTAGGGTTCTAAAGCAACGCTGTTTCAGTTCAAAGCATCCCCGTTGCAAGGGCCGCGGGTGCGGAGAAGGCGTGGAATGTAGTGGCGATTGAACTGAGGAACATTCCTTGAAGCTTCCAGACCGGAAAAATTACGTGTACGTCATTAGTACTCTCAGGTGCTTCGAGCTTGGTTAATACGCAACACATTGAGTAAAGACCACACACAGTTCGGTTGTCGTTTTAACCAAACCTGCATGACTACAGGCACTATTGGAGTGCCTAGCAAGGAAGCCTGGTATCACAAGACTCACCTCGACGGCCACCGACACTCTGCACACCGCGGAGATAAATCGCGCTCAAGTAAGCATAAACGCGAGCTTCTTGCGCAGCGACCGGTCTCGGGGAGCATCGCAGGGTTTATACTACTACAGAATACAGCACAATGCAGCTGCTCATGTCGCATCATGTCGTCGTCCATTTCCCACGTCTCACCTCCATATGGCAGGCAGGGGCTCGCTACTGTTCTCAGGCCGTGTCAAAACTCATCTATGGAAATGCCTTGCTTCTGCATCTCTATATCCGTTGCCTGCTCTCCCAGTCTCTCGTCAGTCCCTGGTACACTGCACCGATCGAAACGGTGCAACACACCTGATACCTTCCGTTCTGTCTGTTCTTTGGGGCGACCTGCCCGTCCGTCTCGTCCCTGCGATCGAATTTTGACCAACGACCCCAACGAAGAGTCGGGCGGATCCCAGAGCCCGTGAAGCATTCGTTTCTGAGGAGTATGATGGCGAACAGGATGATCCCAACTATCACTATTTGGTCTGTTAGTCATCGACATCTGGCGCCTATATCCAGCAGCGGGGGGATGGAGGAAAGAGGCAGGATTCAACAAATTCTACGCACCAAGACCTGCGATGACACCGATGGCCCAGTGTGGTAAACCCGGGGATTGCGATGTCTGATCGGACCTGATGGTGACATGAACCTGCCATGAACTTGGAAACAACCGACGTCGCTCACTCAAACTGGGCGGACACCAGAAATGCGCTTGTCAGCGAGAACACGGCCAGCAAGAAAGGCGATGTCATGATGATAAGTCCGTATGTGTCTCCTTGTAGTCCAGTGGATAATTGCCGATGCGTAGTAAATTAGGTCCTTATACTTGAATATCCCCGAGACAGTACGAAGTTCGGATACTCCTGCTCGATGCCAGCGCGGAGCGCCAGCCCAGTAGTAATAGGGACACGCAAGCCGAGTACCGCACAAGTCGACATGCTCATCGTCGGAACCGGCGATCGGGCCATGGAACAATCTTATCAGTGCCCAAAATCCGTTGTAACCGAACGCCTTTGGCTATACCTGCGCCAGAACTGGTTACTCTCATGGTACAAGGGATCATATTGGTGCCAGGGAGCGGATCCGACACCTACACATGCGAACAGCTCACGCGATCCCGATACGTCAATGCCCTTCCCCGCATCTGCCCTTGTGCCGAATATGCCCGCTTGATCCTGAACGGATCCGTTCTACGTAAATGGTTGCCAATGATGAACAAAGCGCGTGCGCACATTATTCACGAAGAACATTCTTGTTCCGCCGTTGTCTCTCGTCAAGAACAAAAGCAGGGGGAGGGAAGCGTTGATTCTCCTCGACTGTTCGTCCTCAAGACGCCGAAGATCAGGAACCTCTGAGAATAGAGGCGAAAGAATGCGACTTGCGAGCACGAGTTAGGGAAGACTTGACGGTGAATCGACTTTCACCTGGACCGTTTTCGAAAGCGCTTGGCATGAAGACAAGACGAGGCATGCCAGGGTCGCCGCTATCAACCACCGTAGCTACACCGGTGTTCATCTGTACTATCCCTCAGCGCGCTCTTCATAGAAGCTGAAGACGACGCACCTGGTTCAACATCGCCTCTCGATGCATGCGAGACTCAGGCGCTTGCATGCCCGCTTGTCTTCCCAGGTTGTGGTCTCGTCGACAAGTAGCTTGGATTCCGAAGTAGGTCAGCGCGCCACATTGTATGAGAACGAGGATGGTGACTAATTGAACAGATTGCTACGAGTTTCAGCGCTTATTCACCCACCAAAAGGGCGACTCGGAGGGAGGGGGTAGTTGCATACGGATTATTACGCCGATTACCATCACCCAGGTAGGAGGTCCAGACGTTTGGTAGCCCGGACTAGGGCAGAAGGGTTTTAGTCCTGCGCCTCTGGGTCGAAGGTAGGAAGGTCACTCACAACGGTTGGGCCAATGCCTTCTGAGCTGTACCGATAGCTAATGCTGCGAATCATATTGAAGAGTGCATAGTGTTGTGCATGGAGACTGAGGGAGGTCCTTTGCAAGGATATTATACCAATATTAGACTTTAAGAGAGGTTTCCAGCACGGCCAATCTCCGGCGTTTGAATGGCCGTAGCAGTGTTGCAAGGATCATCGGTAGTCTGTGGGTCCGCTGCGCTCTAGTAGAATGAACTCGAAATCCGGAGAAGAACCTCACCAGCAGTATCTCACGAGTCCATTGGAAAGCGGCGGCAACAAGCCAGTGCAGGATGTCGTAGATACCAAGCCAGGACTGTGTTTGGATGATGACGCATACCAGCGTGATACGAAGCTGAGATAAGCGCCCAGGAAGCGTCGATCGCCAGGATCGTGCTGTCGCATAGGAGATGGCTTTGACGACAGTGGCCTTTTCTATTTTGCAGTGAGAATAATGGCCGATTGCGATGTAGAGGAAATGGTCTGGTAACACGCCCTGGAAAAAATGAGTCGACCGGTCATACGGCGGAGACTATCATGCTCACCCGTTTCCCTTTGCATCAAGGTACAAAGATAGTAGATTCTCGAGCATAACAATATCGTCCAATTCGTGTGATGTACTCACCCTTTTTGCAGGTCACCTACTCTCCTACAGTGTTCTCTTCTCGTTCCTGTCCCGGTACTCCTTAGATTAGGCACGCCCGTGGGGTGCCTGGCATGAGACTACTGACCACAGGGGTCTTGGTCATCAGTATGCCCTACCATGCAAGTGTCAGTTCATTTGATTCTCGAGCCCGTGTAGGGAACGAGAGACCTGCTAGGGTACAGATCCCAGTTGCCTGGCTGCATCTAAAACGTAGGCGCCCGAGCCAGTTGGGTTTCTGGATAAGGCATCTGCCAGGTATTTCTGATCTCGCAGCAGGGGAGAACCCGTTCAACTCGGTATCTGAAGACGACGAAGACAATGATCATCACGGTTGCTGTTTGTGTGAGCGTCAGCCTGATTCGCGTGGAAGAACAAGACCAATAGGAGAAGTAGGGTGGGGGAGGGAAGTGAGAACGAGAGAGCAAGACGTACGCACGATAGCTATCACGGGGATTAACCAAACTGGTGTGGATGCGGGCTGAGGTGAGGGTTGACCTGGTAGAGCAGATTGGGCTGAGGGATGGGAGGGAGGCGGAGGTCTGGGAGACGTCAGCTGGGTGTGCGCTTTCTGCATGGAGTGGGAGAGACTTACGGGACTGGGGCGATGACGGAGTGGAGATGGTGAGGAATAGGGCTGCGAGTACCAGGAGAGTGGGCATTGTTATGAAGGTATGTTCTGCAAGTGCACTCCGGAGGAAGAAAGATGGTGTTGTCTCACTCTCGGGTATGGCATATATGGTCAACTATCCTGGGGAATATCAGGGGATGTAGCATGCAGGGCTCTGCTCTTCTAAACGCGGTGCAGTGTCACAACTGGGAATGCCACGTAGATAGTGTACTATCCTAGGATATCAGAAGCACAGGGTGGGCAGTTCGTTGGCAGAAAGCAAGCAGACATTGTGTATGACGGCAGCATCACGATAGGGCGATGAGAAATGCCTGAAATGAGAGGCCACAATTGAAAGCGTACAGCACAGATCATCGCCATCGAGGATATGATTGCAGTGGCCGCGCATTCGAGCTGTGCAGTACTCCGCGTGCCCTGGTAGACGTTATCGGTTGGAGGATGAGAACTAGTTTTGTTGTTATGGGTCACGTGTGCATGAAACATCGACGTTGTCTTAGTCCGCCTTCACGACCAGCGTGTTGTAACTCAAGAGAGAACTCGGAGCGAGCGAATGAAACTTATGGGTCTGTTGTTGTTGTTGCCCGCAGAGTGCGTAGAAAACGTGTAGGGATCATAGCATTGCGCTGAATAGGTTGTCAAGAAGCAGCGCTGCCCCGTGGTTATGCACCCCAAGATGAGAGGGAAAACCAGGCAGTACTTGATGGTGGTCGTGATGAAATAATTGCCTGTGTATGTGCTGTACTCAATCATGAATGACGCATCCCCACGTGAACGGTGCTTCTTCACCACGCGTCTCTGTCACTTCTGTCCGTATCCCTTCTTGCTTGGACAACGATCGCGCATATATTCTCGCTGCTGAGTGTTTGCTGGCCGTTCTTGTGCGACATACTTATGGCCGATGACGATCTGGGCGATACCAGTCAGCCGGGATAATGACCGGCGGCGTCTATGTGGTGGGCTGACGAACGGTATCGTGTGCTTTTTGCATATGCCTCAGAAGGGGAATGTGTGAGCTGGATTAGTCTCAAGTGGGTATTTAACTGCCCCATCTCACCGTTCTCACCTTGCTACTCAGCCCGCATCATGCTCTCCCTGCTGGCACTAGCAGCGCTCGCGTTCGCATCCCCCCTTCCCCGCGCGGGGTACACCTTCAAGGAGTCCCTCCCCTCTGCTCCAAACGGATGGGAACAGCTCTCCCGTGCACCGGGGTCGCACCTCCTCAAGCTCAAGATCGGCCTTATCCAGCCTAGGTTCGGAGAACTCGAACAAGCACTGTGGGAGGTGTCTTTGCCTGGGAGCGAGCGGTATGGAATGCATCTTGGGAAAGAGGAAGTCGAGAAGCTCATTCGGCCACACGACGTGTGTCTCCCCTCTTATATATTATCATAAAGCTGAATATATGCGTAGGAATCGCTCGAGCTGGTCGATGCCTGGTTGGTGGAAAACGGCATTCCTCTCTCCGCGCTCTCTCGCTCCCCGGCACAGGACTGGATCACCCTCACCCTTCCTGTCTCGCTCGCCGAGGAACTGCTAGACACGGAGTACCACGTCTTCCACCACACCACTTCGGGAGACTACCTCGTCCGCACGCTCGGGTACTCCCTCCCTACCCATCTCCACGCACACATCGACGTTGTCCAGCCCAGCACGACCTTTGCCCGTCTGCAACCCAAGCGCAGCTCCCTCCACGGAGATAGCATCGTCCTCTCCTCCGAAGCTGCCATTCCGCCCGTCCCGGCAAGCTGCAACCATACGATCACCCCTGCGTGTCTGAAGGAGATCTACAACGTGGGGAACTACACTGCTTCCTCCACGTCTGGCAACATCCTCGGCATCGCGGGGTACCTAGAACAATGGGCAAACATGAACGACACGAACTGGTTCTACCAAGTCTACCTTCCCCAAGCCGCAGAGCAAGGGTACATGTTCACAGTGGAGCTGATCAACAACGGCACCAACTCGCAGAACGAGAGCGACGCTGGTGGCGAAGCGAACCTCGACGTGCAGTACGCCGGGGGGCTCTCATTCCCCATCCCGAATATCTACTACTCTACGGGTGGCTCGCCCCCTTACATCCCGGACGACAACACTCCGCAGGACACGAACGAGCCGTATGCCGAGTTCCTCGCCTACGTCCTCGCCAAGCCTGACTCGGAGCTCCCGCGCCAACTGAGCACGTCATATGGAGACGACGAGCAGAGCGTGCCGTACAGCTACGCCGTCAGGGTGTGTAACGAGTTCGCCCAGCTCGGCGCACGCGGAGTAAGCGTGATGTTCTCCTCGGGGGACGGAGGGGTAGGAGACGGCCTAGGACCGAACGACCAAGCCTATGGCCCCACGACATGCTACACCAACGATGGGAGGAACGCTTCGTCCTTCCTCCCCGCCTTTCCCGCTTCCTGCCCGTATGTCACTACAGTCGGAGGCACGTACCACGAAGGTCCCGAATGGGCAGTCCCCTTCTCCGGCGGAGGGTTCAGCAAATACTTCTCCCGCCCGTCATACCAATCCCCCACAGTGGACACCTACCTCGCCCAGCACCCACAGTATCTCTCCCTCTACCAAGGCCTGTTTAACCCTTCTGGCCGCGCTTATCCGGACGTCTCGGCTCAGAGCAACAACTTCACCCTGAATAGGGGCGGGATGTGGGTGCTGGAAGCGGGTACGAGCGCGAGTTGTCCCACGTTCACGGGCATCGTAGCGCTTGTGAATGACTACCTTATCGCGCATGGGAAGCCTACTTTGGGGTTCCTAAATCCTTGGCTATGTAAGTCCTTTCTTTGCATATCTGACTCATATTGACCACGCTCGTTAGACGCGGTCGGACACAACGCCTTCAACGACATCACTATCGGTAACAACCCAGGCTGCCTGACGAACGGGTTTAACGCTACGGCCGGGTGGGACCCGGTTACAGGCTGGGGCAGCCCCGATTTTGGGAAGATTACGTCCCTTTTGAGCTTGGGATCTTGAACGTGGGTTTTGCTGGGCTGGTGTAGAGATAAGATGTAGAAGTGCGTTGTAATTCATAAGGTAGATCATATGCTTCGAGTTGTGTGTGAATGCGATCTGGAAACGAATAAAACAAAGAGCATCTGGGAGGCAGGGACAGCGAGCGTTAAGCGCTCGAGCGACCTGGCGAACTTGGGAAGAGTGGAAGCATTTCACGCATTCTAGTTGGATCGTATGAAGTCATGCTAATTTTCAAAGCTCGCTAATCAACGTGAGCGGCAGGAAGTTATATAATGTGGCAAGACTTTCGGACATGTGTACATAGATGTCAGGGGCGAACACAAAAGAACGTTTTCGCTGGGGATCGGCAGCGCGCTACCAGAATGAAACGAGGCGCAGCTGCCTCATGTGACAGATAATATTCAGACGGCACCAGTCGCGGTAGGAACGGCCGTCCCAAGGTCTGACTCGAAGATTGGGGAAACTAACTTGATATCCTCTCTCGAAGGAGGCCTTCCGCTGAAGGATTGTGTTGTAGTTGTGGGACCAGTGTCACCATTGCTGTTACCACCCACGCTTCCAGTACCATCGGCGGTCGTACTCAATATTGCCGTGGTGGTGCCGTTACTACTATTTTCTCTCTCGATCCCGTTGGCGTTGTACGTCTTCGATTCGGAAATCTTCAGTCCAGTCTTGACGGCACTGCCATAACTTGGGAGACGTGGGCGGAACTGCCTCTCCAGTACAGATCCAAGACCACCTCCGCTGTGGAAATGACCGCTGTGGATATAGCTGGACTCATCGGTGAGGTCGTGACGCATGTCGTAGATCCAATCGAGGCTTGCTGACATACTGCCCTGGATCTGAAGGAGACGTTCGGAAAGGCTGCGCGTGACATTCCTCTCGTGAGCGAAAGACAGAGTCAACTCCGAGATCCTGCGCTCGAGCTCTGCCTTGGTAGTAGACATCCCATCAAATCCATCCATCTTCTCTGTGTACGCCTGAGAGACTCTCCAAAGTTCTGCCCGCGCGTCCTGCAGGGCCTGCTCGAGGATGTTAATTCGGGCGTCGACCTCCGTCTGAGAGGATTTGGTGAGAATGAGGGTCGACTGAAGCTCCTCCTTCTCGATTTTCGCCTTCCTGAGAGCCCGAAGCGTCTCCTGGTAAGTCTCCTCGAGGCGGGTCATGACCTCGGTAGTTTCGAAAAGCTCCTTCTTCATGGTCTGAACCTGTCCCATGTAGAGAGCCTTCCAGGACTCAAACTGTTTGATGATGACGCTATTAGCAATGATGGTGGTACGGGCTTCCTCGAGCTCAGCACGAATGGTGCCGCTTGCGGCCTCGCGCTCATCGTTCTGCGACCGAACGACGAGGAGCTCCTTGCGGAGCCGATCGGTCTCGATCTGGAGCGTCGTGCGTTCTTTCTCGATGGTCGTCTTCGACTCAGTGATCTACTTGAGAAGCAACTCTTGCTTGTTGAATTCCGCCATGAGCTTCTGCAGCTTCATGGTAGTCTCATGGAGTTCGCCCCTGACCGATGCAGACTGGGATGCTGTGCGCGTCTGCTCCGTGGTTACAGTGGTGTGTTCGATATCTGCACGGGATAAGCGCTGATAAGCCAGACTTAGTCCGCGATATATATCCGCTTGATCCTGAAGAATCAGGGCCATTTGAGTATCGCGCTTCTTGATCTCAACAACGAATGAGTCGTAGTCACCATAGACTTTGGCGATGTTGAGCAGGTCAGAGGAAACGGTGCGACTCAGGTCCGCAATCCTGCCTTCCGTTCGATGCAATCGCTCCTCGATTTTGTGGCGCTCCGCCGAGTAGCTATCGGACGCCATCTCTGAATTTGTCGTCGACTCCGTGTTGGTGACAGTGCTGGACTGATAGCCACCAATTGAGAGCACTTTTCCATTCTCGAAATTGACGATTTTGAAGAGATCATAAGCGCTGATCATCCAATCATTCTTGCCCTCAACAGAGCACGCCTTGTAGCGTAGTTTCCAGAGATCCTTGGCATCGAGATGAACGTCATCGGTGAGCTTGCTGGAGAAGAAACCCTTTTGGCCGCTGACGGCCCGACGTTCGGAGATGCCGAGGATATCGTCCAGAGGCACATGGAATGAAATTGTGGAGTCGCCCGGCTGGCGCACGTCAACGTGGTAAATGCCGTCCTTGTCGAGTCTTTGGTTGGAGTACTCGCTGCGTTTGAGAGCCATTGCTGCTGAACTGCGGATGTTTCAAACGTCGGAAAGACGGCAGGTGTCGTAGCGAGATGTGGGGATGTCTGTAGTTGGCGTACTTTTCGGTAGCATCCCCGCAGACGGCGTCCTCTTAAACCTTTGAGAGTCGACGGCCGGCATCTGATCAACCCGGAGCAAGAGGAAGGCCGTGACAGAAGTTCCGGTGAAATCAAGAGACTAAGTCCGAATCAGACTGACGTTCTTTTGAGGAGAAGACAATGCTGTAGTTCTTGAAGACAAGTTCGTGAACCCAATGGAGGTCTGGAACGTTTATGCCTTCTTGAACGACTCGCGGGCGCGGCTTGCTAAAACAAGGACTATCTCGTGTTCATCTCTTCGCAACACAAGACATGGAAGAGTCCTGGTTGTGGAGCCAGTTCAAATCCTAAAGAAAGACCATGAGCAACATTGAGAAGAGGTTAAAGGAAGTAAACCAAAGAGATGAGACGAAGTCCACGTCACGCCGGCTGGATTCCGTATATGAAGAACAACCTCAGTGGCTGGTAAACGAATATGAGCCGAACGAGACAGAAGACATACCAAAGGCGATGTTCATGTTGATGAAAACAGGAGAGAATGGCTTACTGCTTGTTCAAGCCTCCTCAAATTTCAATCCAACGGTCTGCGGTCTCCGTATCCAGTTGCATCTCTCCGACACAATACTGATCAGCGTCACATAAACTTACCTTACCCAAAAGGGGTGGAGGTACAGATGCCAAGGACGTTTCGGAGACAATCTCCCACCCTGATTCCCTCAAATGGTAACCCTTACTTCTGATGTCGTCTTGTGTATGCGGTAGTTGGTTTGCAGGTTTGAGGCACGGGCCGGGGATGGAGAGGGATAGTTGAGTTGAGCTGGTTCACAACCTCGATGATATGGTATTGTGTCAGGCTACAACGGATAAATAGTCAATTTATTGTTTGAGTACGATCAAAAAACGATGTACAAACAAGTCACGACAGGCAGGCAGGTTGTACTTTAGCGACTGGGTATCAGATTTCAGAGAAGAACTGCTTCCTACGGTTTGGGAAAGGGGATGATCGTATCAAAGGCGAGAAAAGCGGGCGAAAGGGAGACGACCGTCCGCTGGATGGAATCATTACAGCAGGCAGCGGGCTGGGTGTCTTATGCGAGGATGGGAGCAGGGTTGGGAATGACTGGTACCGCGGCCGCTTGAAAATCGTTGGGACTGGAGACTGCGGGTGCGGGGAAAAACTTGACGTCCGAGATGGCGGCGATTTCGGCGATTTTCAGCTCGGGTGCGACAGCATCAGCGACGATCTCTGGTACAACAGTCTTATCAGGGTTTCCAGCTGGGCTGTTGAGAGCACTGCGGTAGCTTGGTAGGCGTGAGAGACCCGATTGGTCAAGCTCGCCCTCGATGACTGCGCCACCTGGTCCTGTTGCAGCGCGATGAAGATGGTGCAGGTAGAGGTACTTGGACTCCTCTGTAAGATCATCACGGATATCGTACATCCAGTCGACGTCCTCGGCCACACTACCCTGAACTTGAAACAGGCGTTCGGAGACGCTCCGTGTAACGTTGCGTTCGCGCGTGTGTGAGAGGCTGAGCTCGGTGAGACGGCGCTCTAGGACAGTCCTGACGGCTGCCATGGCCCGCAGCTCATTTTCTTTTTCCTCAAAAGACTTGGACAGTTGGGAGAGCTCGGTCTTCGTCACCTGAAGTGTCTGCTCCACCACAAGGATACGGGATTCGGAAGCAGTCTTCGAGTACTTCAGGTTGACAAGCTCAGCTTGCAACTTCTCCTTCTCGAGGTGGGCGATCCTGAATGCCTGGGCTGTCTCCTGATAGCGGATTTCGAGAATGCTCATCGCCGCGCTGACTTCGCTAATCTCCCTCATTACCGACTCCACTTCTTTTTCGTAGAAAGCCTTCCAAGTCTCGGAATGCTCGATAATCCTCTTGTTGCCGGCGATTGTTGTCTCCGCCCTATGGAATTTCGAGTTGAGCGCGTGATGCTCGGCTCTCAGGTCGACGGTGGCAGCTTTCAGCACCAAGTTCTCCTTCTGCAACCACTCCATCTCGCCCTCCAGAGTAGTACACTTGCTCTCGAAACGAGACTTCTCGGCCGATGTCTTCTTGACCTCTCGTTCCCCAAGCCGGAACTCCGTCTCCGCTGCGGCAAGCTCGATCGCGGCCCTCTTGCAGTCCTCCTCGAGGCGCGAAAGAGAGGAGAGAATACGCTTCTCTTCCTGAGTCATGACAAGTCGCTGTTTGTCCGCGACGGAGAAGCGGTCATGGGACTGGCTGAGCTCGCGGTATAGCTCTGAGTTCTCTTGGAACATCAGAGACATCTTGAGGTCGCGTTCCTTTATCTCGCCGTTGAGCCATGCGTGATCGGCGTAGGTCTTGCTGAGGTACACTTGACGCGCGCTGATTGAGCTCGCTTGCTCCGCGATCTCCTTCTGAGCCAAGGAGAGTTGCTGCTCGATGGAAAGGCGACTGGCAGCAATCTCAAGCTCCACATCTTGCTCTTCCACGGTTTTCTTCTTGGCAAGTCGCTCCATCTCGTCTGCTTCATGCTTGACATCGACAGCCCGCCGCTGAAGCTCCTCTTCACGAGCTCGATGAAGAACGCCGCTGATAGCCATGTCTCCTTGAACCTCTTGCTGATGCTCCTTGTGGCGACGATCCCGGTGCGCAGCATCTTCCGCAAGTCGGTCGTCGTGCTCCTTGTTATCAGCTCGCCATTTTGCTTTCTCTTTCTCGGACTCCTCGGATGCCTTGATAACCTCGTCGGCGACTTTAGTGCGTTCAGCTGCTGCTTTCTTGGCCGCTTCCGTGACCATGATCTCCGCATCGAGTTCACCGAGCAACATTTTGTTTTGCTGCTGAAGGGCGTCGATCTGCTCTTGAGGGATCGTGGGAAGGCCATACGACTCGAGTACAGTCTTGCCGTTAGTATCCGCGAGCTTGATGTGCTGGCTCAGGTCAAACTCGACCGGAATCCATCGCTCGGGCCTATCTCCAGTCGAGCCAATAAAGAGCTGAGCCTTCAGGTTGCTGCCCTTCAGCTGTACATCTCCCAACAGACCACAGATGCCCTTTGCGCCCCAGCGAGGCTTGCCGTTATCGACACCGAGGATTGTGTCGAGATCGAAGGATTTGGTCTTGTCGCCGCGGTCGTTCAGTTTGTGATAGACGCGCTTCTTGGGCTTTTGATTAGGCTCGAAAAATAGATTCAGAGAAGTAGACATTGTTGACATTCGCGAGTGTGAGTAGACTGGAATAGAGTTGATGGTGTTCTTTGAGTTTTCAACTCCGGGATACTGATATAAACCCAGTCGACCATGGGGGTTATATATATGTGTGTGCTGCCTGAGGAGAGTCGCCTTTCTGGCGCCCTTGGCAGCACCGGCAGGGAGATATCACCGTAGGGCGAGCGGTCATCTTCCTTCCACGATTGTCGAAAACGGTGCCTCAGCGACGACTGGTGTCATGTCGTAGATAGGCCGGTCAGGCAAGGAAAGTGCCACAATGAGGGATAACAGTCAATCGAAAGTTCGATGAGGCAGCTCCGGAGTGCGGGAGTACGAGCACCGATGGTCAGCGGTTGTGTGCCCTGAACGCCACAGAGTATTTGAGGACATCCTTTGGACGAAAGCGCAGAGCAAGGGTCGACATTGCCGAGCTGCAAACCTGGTATTCGCCAGCTTATCACGAAGGTGGCAAGAAAGTTCCACGGTCAGGCACCAGTTCCTGAAATCAGATACTGGTAGATGATTCGACAATTGCGGCGGTGTCCCCCTCCGTTTATGATGAGTGAGAAGACAAAACCATGATCCAATCACTCGCTACCGGCGCTAACAATCGCCGGCTAGGGTTGTTTGTTCAGGACATCTGGAGAAGAAGGACGCGGCATCAGATGGAATTCACGTCGTTTCCTTTCATGCTCACGTGCTCGGGCGTTTTAGAAATCGCGTGACCTTATAACCGGTAGTTCAAGGGTCCACCTCTGATGTCGAGTGTGTGCCAAGAGTGGCAGTGCAGGACCCTTGCGCAGCCTTAAGGCACCAGAATTTGATTCCATTCGACTATGTAGCCTATATGTACATAGGGACGGATTGGCCTGCAGCAGGCCAATCCATGCCATTTTTACTATTCTCCCCTAATTGACGACTTGACAGTTGGTAGCAGGAAACCACAATCTGACCTCAGTCCTTCTCTTAAAGAAACTCGGCAACAATGACCACACCCACTCGACCTGCATCAGCTCCTCCAGACTCACCTCAGAGCACCATTGTCCTGACACATATTGAAGATGGTGCCACAGTTGGCCAATGTCCACCAACACCTCACCCAAATACATCCTCTGCTGCAGAGGCAGCACACCAAGCTGCTGGTGCAGCCATCTCCATGGCTGAAGACCTGTCAGGGCACCAGCTCATTGGTTGGTCAAGAGACATGACTAAGCCTTTATGACATGGAAGTAGCTGGTATACCTTGGCATGTGCTGGAACCTGCTGGAAGGATTGGATGGTCAGGTGACCTGCTGTGCATGGCTGTGCA